TCATATTATCAAATCGGGCAAAGTACGTAATCTGAAGAGGAAAGGAGAAATTACAGATTTTTTATTTTTATTTTCTTTAATTCTTTATTTATGTTACATTTGATGTAGGTTGGTGGGTAGGGTATGGGGTACAGAAGAGAAGTTGGGGGAGAGGGAGGGGGAAAATGCACAGTTATACAGCATCTTCTCGGTTAACAATCGCACAATCCTCTGTATATACAGATATAGGCATAGTAAAAACTTGTACCGTATATATCATGAAATTAGGCATTAAACCGGTTGTAAAATGGACCAATAGGGTCTAAGTGCTGCCGTATTGTGGGTCCTATTTGGTCGTCCGTTATCACCTAAGTATGATGGTGTTATGGCCATCCTTATCCCCGTTTTCAATCCAACTGTGTAGTGGTGTTGTCCCATGTCGGGTCTATGGGTCGCGTAGTCTTCAGTTGAAGTGTAACTTGGAGCCAGGTGGTTCGGTAGTTTTCTATGTTTTGGTGTAATTGGGTTTTGTGGGCCTCAAGTTGTGTGTGCGTCATGTGGGCAAGTTCCATTGCCTGGTATTCCTGTGCAGGGGTGGTGAGGTAGAGTAGTGGGTATAGAATGGGTCATGGGGGAAGGATTCCAGGGGTGGGGGGGTCCGGGGATGGATAATTAGGGTGATCTGCCACGCGCGCAGAGCCCCAGCCCGGTGGGTATAGCAGGGTGAGCTGAAGTTTGGGCTTGACAGGAGCTTTGAGGGGAGTCCCGAGAGCTCGGTGGTATTGTGTACTCTTGTGCAAGCTGAGATTGTGTTCACCAGGTCAGGGAGGTATCTCCCTCTATCCATGGGTCCCAAACCTTATGGAATTGTTTGGGAGTGTCGTGGAGTTGGGATGTGAGCCTATCCATTTGTATGTTATCCTGTATTTTTTTAGTGATGCTCTCTTGTGATGGGATGCGGGTGGTGGACCACAGCTCTGCTATTGCCCTTCATGTGGAGAGGGCGACGCGTGCACTAAGTTTGTTTTCTGCTCTGGTTAAATTTTCCAGAGGCTTTGAGAGTAGAAGGGCCCATGGGTCTAATGGATATGGCTTGTGTAGAATTTTGGTCAGTAGGGCTATGACGCTGTTCCATAAGGGTTTTATTTTGGGGCATGTCCACCAACAGTGGAGAAATGTCCCTTGTTCTCCACAAAGTTCCCAGCACGCGCTGGGTGTTTTGTGGATTATGGCTAGGCGTTGGGGTGTAAGGTACCACCGGAACAGCATCTTGTATGCTTGTTCCGTGTGTGTTACACAGATTGATATCGAGGCCGTGGCTTCCCAGATATCTGCCCAATCTGTGTTGTCTTCTAGGGGTCCCAGGTCTCTTTCCCAGTGTTACTTGGGTAGAGTGGGTTGCCAGGGCCGTGTATAGGTCTGGACAGATTTTTATTTATTTACTGTAAACATTATCAGGTTAGAAATTAGATATTTGGTCAAATGTAGTTAGGAGGCTCAATCACAACATTTGGGGGAGGGGGAACATACCTGTAAACCAAACCTAACTTTTATAAACTGCAAAGTGGACATTATCAATAAAAATTGTTTAATTATTAATGAATAGATATGTAGTGCTAGGCTTTTAGTGACAAGCAAACTGTCACTCCCTGTATAAACAGACTAGAAGGACAAGAGATTGGGTGGGAAACAACCATGAGAGACTGTCTCCGAACATCCAGGCCAGTTGGCAGGTATTATTTTCCTATAGCTGTACACTTTACATTCAGAGTGTCTGTCCTTGGAACTAAATATTGCCAATATTTAACCCATAGGAAGCCTCCAAGCGGGAGCATAGCAGGATTAGCTATAATAGGAACCATGGACCATCTCTGTATGAAGAATGACTGGTACCCTGCTTAGGGCCATGAGGCATATTAATCCTCCTCTGTGGGCGTCACTTCTGGTGATGCTGAAAGGAGAATGTAGTTCCGATTTTTATTTATTTACTGTAAACATTATCAGGTTAGAAATTAGATATTTGGTCAAATGTAGTTAGGAGGCTCAATCACAACATTTGGGGGAGGGGGAACATACCTGTAAACCAAACCTAACTTTTATAAACTGCAAAGTGGACATTATCAATAAAAATTGTTTAATTATTAATGAATAGATATGTAGTGCTAGGCTTTTAGTGACAAGCAAACTGTCACTCCCTGTATAAACAGACTAGAAGGACAAGAGATTGGGTGGGAAACAACCATGAGAGACTGTCTCCGAACATCCAGGCCAGTTGGCAGGTATTATTTTCCTATAGCTGTACACTTTACATTCAGAGTGTCTGTCCTTGGAACTAAATATTGCCAATATTTAACCCATAGGAAGCCTCCAAGCGGGAGCATAGCAGGATTAGCTATAATAGGAACCATGGACCATCTCTGTATGAAGAATGACTGGTACCCTGCTTAGGGCCATGAGGCATATTAATCCTCCTCTGTGGGCGTCACTTCTGGTGATGCTGAAAGGAGAATGTAGTTCCGTATTTTTGTGAATGAAATCTGTTCTTGTAGATAGAGAATGGCCGAATAGATTTTTTTTTTTGTATCTGTGCATTCAAACTTAGGCCAACAAAGAGATAGCTGCGATCTACTCTACTTCCATAAATCATGTGCTTCCAGAGGAATAATCAATGCAATGTTGAAATGTTATTTCAAATCCATCAAGGAAGAGGTGGGGGAAGGACAAAGCTCCATATTATGCATTTTGTTCCGTGTGACGCTTTTCTCACTAACATTTTCATAAAGTTGTAAAATAGGTGCCTTCCACAACCCCCCTCCCTCTCTGTATTAATGGGCAGTTTCATGAAGTTGTAGAATAGGTGCCTTCCGCACCCCCCGTCGCTGTATTAATGGTTTTGCAGTAAAGTTTCAGCATTTTATTCTTACGTTCTGTATACCCCTGATCAACAATTCCGTGTGATTGTCTCTCCTGCTTGGACATATTTTATTAGTTAATTCGTATTTAACGTGTACTAGTACGGACATGTACTATTCATATCTTCACAATGATGGTGCTATTGGGTGCATAATGTTCTTGAAATCTTTTGCTCAAACTCTTTGATTACCCAGGCTTTCTCATTCTTGTGGCCCTTGGAGAGTTAAAATAATGAAATTAACACAAATTTATCAATGCCTAAAATGCTTTCTGGCTGTTAACGCCGTCATTTTCCCCAATATTTTGTGGTCAGTTAAGATTAACCACAGTTTATCCCACATATATTTATATGAAAATGCGCTCCAGAGACAGATTATTATAATATAATCTCTCGCTTAGTGAGATTTTATACCATCGTTTGCTTAGTAGAATCTGCACCTGCTTTTAATGTGTGCTACAGGCCGTTTGGAATTGAATAAATTCTCAGAAGTGCTGTAAGATGTTAAAATGACTTCATTTTCGTCATCTTTTTAATTGTTTCCATTTATCAAGCATTTGTCCATCATCCTGAAGATATTGATAGCATATTCTACGCATGATTAACGCAGCCATGTTTTTTTTTATTGATCCCAGCATGTAAGGAGTTAAGGTTTATGTGAATTGAAAATAGGGGGTGGGGATTCTGTTATTAATTCTGAGTATTTATTCAGACAAATATAAAGCTGTGCTAGGACAAGATAATCATTCTATGCAAAAATAGCACAATTGTGACATAATTCAGACCTAGACAGATTCCTAAAATGATGATCGACAGAGAACCAGCATGAATGTGAGGGCTGCCCCAAAACAAAAAGTCGCTCTCGTAATAAATCATTATTTATAAATATAACAGAACAACATTTCTTTATATTTTTATTTTGACGCAACTCTTGCAGCAATGTTGGTTTTCTTTTGATAAAGACTTTATGAAATATAGGTAGATATGTCTCTCTCTTTGTATATTTCTCAAGTCTTTAATAACGTTTCTGTAATCTTATTTAAGAACTTTTCATTTAACCATTGTATCGCCAGTCAAAAACTTATTTTATACTGTGTTTACTTTAAAAAACATCAGACATCTTAAGGTTACTTTTTATAGAATTGATTTTATTATTGTTAATTATTATTATAATTTTTTTTAATATTTCACATCACTATGAAATGGGACTAAAGTAATTTACAAATATAATATGTAACGTATAGACAGGTATATGTGAGCTTACAGTCTAAAGACAGTGACTCCTATACAGTGTTATCCCAACCATTCCAATATTTACAAAACAAAATGCCAGTGCTAATTTAATTTGTTACAATTTTCTTTGTTAATATGTACAGTTGAAAAGGGAGCCATGTTTGATGGTGTAAATGGCTTTGTTTTGTGTCCCCATTGTCTGTTTTGTTAAATTGCTGAACTTTTGAACAGTGCACAGGGATTAACCCTTTGTACACCAGTGCTGTCTTTTTTGACGGAGGAGTGAAAGTAGACTCCCCCTCCGGCACAGTGCTGAGTAAATGTCTCCTGAGGTTTTGGCTGAGTGAGTGTGGACGGTGCTGCTCACAGGATCCTCGTTTGGAAGAGACCTGGCTAGGAAAGGCTCTGGTGTCAGTGTGGAGGAAATAGAGCAAGTTCGCCTCCAGTGCTGTGTTTTTGGGAATGGTTTGTGACTGTCCCGCCTCCTCTGTCAGGGACTCTGGGCTTTGGGAACAAGGCTGTGAATCAGTAAGGACAGCCCCTGTGAGAGCGACACACTGATAGGACAGGCTGACACTCTGTGACTGGGGTTGTGTGTGTCTGTGTGTGGCTTTCTGCTTTTTGTTTTTTTTCTCTCTCCAACTCTGAGCAGAAAGCTCATTCAGTGCACAGCCACCTCTCGTACAGCGCTGGGCACAGGGACTGATCTTTCACCTGCCCTCTGCCCACTAGGGAGGGCCAGGAGAAGGCGTTGCCAATCGCAGCTTGCCCGCCTGCCCACTGCCTGAGCTCTCAGAGACACACACTCCATGACATCAGCCCAACAACTTGTGATCCAGCAGACAAATCAGTCACAATTAGATATTAATTAAGTATTATGAAAGTTGATTATTTAAGTGAATTCAGCTTTGGACTCTCTGACTATGGTGAGTACGGGGCTCTTGTCTCCCTCCTTTTTCTCCGGTTTGTCCTGAAGACGATCTCTTGCTGTCACTTTGTGTGTGTTTTCTTCCTGATTCGCTGCTGTTGCCTGTATCTGAGGACAGCTATTGTGTGCCTGTAGCTTTGCTGCTTTTAGCTTTATATAGTAATAATGTAAGAGTTGTCCTTGCCCTCCTCTAACAGACGGGCACACATGCTTTCACAAAGTTTATGGGATCAGCGTTGCGTGTTGGGCTGTGTTAAACAGTGTCAGCTACTCAAGTGATCACAGGAGTACTCTGCTTAACCCTTGGAGTGCCAGGGGTTTACTGATCACCTCTGGCACACACAGGGTTAAACGTAACAGGCTTGCATCCAGAAGTAACGTGTGGCTGATGGTTGATTGCTGGTTTTAGGTTTCATGGCTGTAAACAGAATGTGTTTGCATTATTTGCCTGCTTATGTTGTGTTTCGGTGGGTTGTTGTTTTTTTGTATTTTGTTATGTTTGTTTTCCTTTTTATACACTTCCGTATGGCAAAATAAAGCTCATGTTTTATTCCAGTTCATTTGTTTCCTTCTCCTGTCCCAGGAGCTGGTTACTTTGATGAAACGAGCCCCTTTCACTTTTCATTTTAAGCAGTAACGGAAGTGACAGGAAGGGGGTATCTGCCGGTCACCTTTTCTGCTGAGGCTCAGTCCGAACGGCCGGGCATCTGGGACCGATGGCTCATAAAGTGCTTGTTTTGTGTTGTGTGGTTATTTTTGTTTTAACTCTGGTCCTGGCTGTTCCGGTTTTTTGGAGAAGTGACTGTGTAACCCAAAAGGAATTTAATTAATTTAGGTCAAGGCAGTGGCAGTTTAGAAGAGGTGATGATTACAATTTAATGATTTGTTTGTTTCCGTACAATGTATTGCACTCTCGCTGTCTTTCTTTGCCTGCCCTCTCATGGTGGAACAGTAGTGAGGGGCCCAGGTGTGCCGCGGGAGACAAGGAGGGCAGATTTATGTCTGAGAGCTGTAGGTAGGGGGCTGATTGGGAACTGGAAGTAGATAGGGATAGTATGCCGGGGAAAGGCTGTTGAATGGCAGTTGATCTACTGGCTTTGTTTGGGGAAACGGTTGCTGTCCTGCGTGTTTGCAGCACATGTGCTGATGGGTTTCCGTGGTGACTACTGATCACACCCAAGAGATTATTCAATTTCACCTTAAAGAGAAAAACGAGAAAACAAAAAAAAGCACAAACGCTTCTACGTGTTTCCTGCTTTCCCAGAGTTTCGTCAGGCTGCACTTTAAGTTCTCACTGCACTTTCTAAAGGAATCCTGCCAGATATTTGCATTTAGGATATTTCTTCAAATTCTTAAATTTGTGCTTTTATTTTTTGTTTTGTTTTGCCACCTTTGTGCTGCTGAGAACAGGATGATCAGACAATTAGCCTTTTCAATGCCTGAGGAGTGAGCAAGTCCTACCTCACCTCTCTGGATTAAAGGTAACAAAAATGTCGGGCCCGCACCTCTATGTGTTACCCAGCACCCTGACACCCTGATATTGGGTCGGCACCTCTATGTGTTACCCAGCACCCTGACACCCTGATATTGGGTCGGCACCTCTATGTGTTACCCAGCACCCTGACACCCTGATATTGGGTCCGCACCTCTATGTGTTACCCAGCACCCTGACACCCTGATATTGGGTCCGCACCTCTATGTGTTACCCAGCACCCTGACACCCTGATATTGGGTCGGCACCTCTATGTGTTACCCAGCACCCTGACACCCTGATATTGGGTCCGCACCTCTATGTGTTACCCAGCACCCTGATATTGGGTCCGCACCTCTGTGTCACCCAGCACCCTGACACCCTGACATTGGGTCCGCACCTCTATGTGTTACCCAGCACCCTGACACCCTGATATTGGGTCGGCACCTCTATTTGTTACCCAGCACCCTGACACCCTGATATTGGGTCCGCACCTCTATGTGTTACCCAGCACCCTGATATTGGGTCCGCACCTGTGTGTCACCCAGCACCCTGATATTGGGTCGGCACCTCTATGTGTTACCCAGCACCCTGACACCCTGATATTGGGTCGGCACCTCTATGTGTTACCCAGCACCCTGACACCCTGATATTGGGTCCGCACCTCTATGTGTTACCCAGCACCCTGACACCCTGATATTGGGTCCGCACCTCTATGTGTCACCCAGCACCCTGACACCCTGATATTGGGTCCGCACCTCTATGTGTCACCCAGCACAGGGCCTTTCAGTCGCTGAATAATACGCTGTAGATCCATTTATAGCTGAGGTTTCTATACGACTGACATCGCTATTTGTTGTGAAACTATAACTCCCATTATGGGATTTGCAGTTTTACACAGATGGAGTGGTCTCCTTTTTTTTTTTTTTCGTTTGGTGTAACAATGTATTTTAGTATTGTTCTATATTGTTCTGTGTTGAGTATTACAAAGTTTGTATGCAATATAAACATTTACTTAGAACCCCAATTTATTATGCATGCAATATAGGGCCATGTTTAGTTTTTTCTGATATCAGATTTTTTGAAAACATTTTTTCATGTTTATAATTTGTGATGCGATATAAGTCCAGTGGTACATTGCAACAGGTACCATGTGAAAAGTGAGATAGGCCCAGTTTGTCTTAAATTGTTCTGGTATAGTGTTATATTTTACAATTTAGTGCAAATATCATCAGTTGTCATGTGGTCTCCATATAGCATACGAGTAATTCTTGTAGAATGAGTAGTCGGCGCCCCTTATTAATAATGTTAATGTTGAATCGTGCTGGCGTGGAATTCTGTGATTTTATATATTTATTGTCTTGCAGTGTTACTGCACTTTGATCGTCACATTGTAGGTTGTGTAATAAATCTGGATTTTATTCAAACATTCAGTTTTTTACTCTCCTCCCCCCGATTGTGTAAGAAGATAATTCATGTCATTGCTAGATGAATTTAACCCCTTGTTTCCTGCAGCTTTGCAGATCCATGAATTTGACCGTGGCCCCATGGGAGCCAGACCTTAATAGTGGAAATCTGCGAATACCAAAATCCCACGACTCTAAACACATTTTCAGTGCATCGTTGTCAGCATTAAAAACACGCTGCTGTCGTCCTTAACTCACCAGGCCCCAAGATGACAGCAAATTTACATTTTTTAATTAAAACGAGTGCTCTGTATTTTTTGTGTGTGTTTTATAAAAAGGGCTGGCTTATGCAAATGAAATGGTTGTGTAGTAAAGATTAGCAGAGTTTAGAAATAAATTTTCCCAACATACTGACACATGGAAAGAAAAAGTGGCTGTTTTTCCTGCAAGTCTTTTAGACTAATTTCCCCAGGGGTTGGGAGGAGACTGATGCCAGATTTGCGTTGTGGTATATAACAGGGAATGCAGCACTCTTGTGACATCACAGCGTCGGCGAGTCACATGTGACTGCGCAGTACGTAAGTGGACACATATCTGTACCACCTTACATGCCAGTAATGGCTAAACTTTGGATCTGCAGATATGCACGAACTACAATTGCCATGGTTGGCTGAGCATCATGGTAACTGCATTGCCAAGGCTATCCATGGCAGTGTCAGGGCAAAAATATACACTTTTCCTTATAGTGCAGTAATTTCGGATCATGGCAATTTATCGCCATTAGGAACAATTCTGTATCTGCAGACGTATTTTCTGTATGTAGTGAAAACTAAAAAAATGGCAGTGCTTGTATCAAAACACTAAATTGATTTGTAAGCGTTAAATACAGTTTCTTTTGTATTAAAAACACGTATTCTCTAATTGTCATTTCCCCCATACAGTAAGATAGGTAGTAGTGTAGTGTCGTCTTGGCCTTCACAAATCGATTGCATTTGGGGGGGTTGGTATCATGGATATGGCAAAAAAGTTAAATGAACTTGTTATATATATTATTAATGTACGAGTTGCCTTTGGAGTGGCAGTTTAAGGCATTATCACTAAACAGTGAACTGGGGCAAGCCAAGAAACAAGTCGCATAATTTACACTAAAATAAACGATTTGGGAACGAGTTTAAAAACATCTGATTTGTAGAATTCATTCCTACCATATATTTTAACTAACATTTTGGAGCTTGGTTCTTGAATTATCACAACTTTCAGTTTTGTGAATGAATCCATACATTATATACCCACTATAGTAATACAGGGTCTGGTTATCATGCGGCTGCAGGTTAGTCCATCCTTACTATTCCTTGGATAGTGAGCATTGTAGCAAGAAAAAAAGTCTAGATTTCCAGAAAGTTCTGTCCTCTTTCTCTCTAAGGTCATTGTGAACTATTAGAAAAGCAAAGACTTTTTAATAAACATAGGGCTGTGAAAATCAGGAGAGATAACCGGACATTTTTATGTCTTTTCCCAGTAAACCATGTGTTTGTGCACACAGTGAACAAAATATTTACCTTTCATATCTTTTCTACAAAACTTTATTTTTCCCCTTTTAATAGAATTGGGGGGACGGAGGGTGGAGTCAGGACCCCCAAACACACTTTTTTCTTACATTAAGTGTCATGGAACAGCAAAAAAAAAAAAAAAAAACCACATTTATTTGTTTTGTTTTTTGTTTATACATTCCTTCATTTGAAACTAAGGACACGCTTACACTCATTACGTGATTTGTTCATGAGACAGGTTGTTTAACTTTTTCCTTGTGAGTATTGTTTCAATCACTGCATTAGTTCTATCGTCTCACAGGTGAAAACATTACATTTAGCGGATTATGTAAAGGTCCAAAAGCAGTCTGTTTGGATCATCATGTTTGTAAATGTAAGGGAGCTGGTTCTGCCATGCTTGGGGTGCTGGTGGTCGTGGGCATGTATTGTGCATCCTGTCATTACCCAGTGCTGGTACCAGCCTGGCAGATGGCATCATTGGCAAAACCAGAACAACATTTCACCAGTCAAGTCCCTCCAAATCGTAAATGAGCTCAGTCGGGCCTGCTCCGCGTAGGCCGAACATACCGACCTGGTAACATGGGTTCAATATTACTAATAACCCTACGTAACCCCACACATATCCTGTATCAAGGCTGGTAGAGAATTAAGGGGGACGATAGTACAACAAGTGGAAAAATAATGTTTTGACACCTTAACATATATACCGTGACACCTTAACATGTATACCGTGACACCTTAACATGTATACCGTGACACCATGACATGTATACCGTGACACCATGACATGTATACCGTGACACCTTAACATATATACCATGACGCCATGACATGTATACCGCGACACCTTGACATGTATACCGTGACACCTTAACATGTATACCGTGACACCATGACATGTATACCGTGACACCATGACATGTATACCATGACATGTATACCATGACATGTATACCACGACACCTTAACATGTATACCGTGACACCATGACATGTATACCGTACACCTTAACATGTATACCGTGACACCATGACATGTATACCGTACACCTTAACATGTATACCGTGACACCATGACATGTATACCGTACACCTTAACATGTATACCGTGACACCATGACATGTATACCGTACACCTTAACATGTATACCGTGACACCTTGACATGTATACCGCGACACCTTGACATGTATACCGCGACACCTTGACATGTATACCGCGGCACCTTGATATGTATACCGCGGCACCTTGATATGTATACCGCGACACCTTAACATGTATACTGTGACACCTTAACATATATACCATGACATGTATACCATGACATGTATACCGCGACACCTTGATATGTATACTGTGACACCTTAACATGTATACCGTGACACCCTAACATGTATACCGCGACACCTTAACACGTGACACCATGACATGTATACCGTGACACCTGAAATAACATTCTATATCTACTCATGATTTTAATTCAAGTAGCCAGAACTTGCTGAGGTAGTTATGGCTAGGGTATGAAATTAGATAAGGCCCTGCAAGTTCCTGGGTCAGTCGCTGTCTCGATTTCCTGGCTGATTTCGGAATTCATTGTGTATATATATATATATTTATGCATATTTTGTTTACTTTTGTCCAGCTGTTCATCCCCTCCCTAAAACGCAAAACATATTCTGAATATAAAGGAAGTATCAGTTTTTCTGCGCGTGTACATCCTGTGAAACCACAAATAATTACACATACATACATACATGCATCTCAATAAATGCACAGAACTCTTAGAAAGGCCAATCTGGTTTTATTCTGCAATGCACACTAGCAGTACTGAGGGCAATCAGCCCTAAATTGTGCACCTGCAGGCCATTGTGTCTGTGTGTGTGTGGAGGGATATAAAGACCCCTAAACAGAGCACTGCTGAACTGACCGAGCCTATACATACAATTACAATTTCAGCAAAATATTAATTTATAGATGTAGCTATTTTTTTCTAAGATAGACACAGCAACCTAGCTGGTTACAATAGCTTTGCACCAATGGTGCTCCCTTTGAAAGTAATGATTTACTGGGGCCCCTACATTGTGATATCAAATATTTTCTATTAAATTCCCATTGGTTTCAATTTGATAATAGTATTCTGTTTGTATGAAACTATGAGTGTTACAGTAATTCTGACTCACGCATAACATTGGGACTTCGGTTCAAAGTTCTAAAAGTGGTAATATCACCATGGAAACACACAAACTTTGCTCCAGAATTGATAGAGTTGTACCTATTCCAGTTCCTGACAGATTTATATATATATCGGACTTATTAATTGCATAACATTATCAGTTGACATTTGCTTATGGTTTATGTTTTTGTTTTGTTTTTACCTGGTGGTAAAATGAATTTTTTACACATTCAGTTATTCACTAAAGTGAGAATTGAAAGGGAATTTACAGATTCAAAGTATATTTCACATTGAAGGCCAAAATAGCCAAGCTTGAACAATTCTCTAATCTACGCTTTCAATTCAGCTACTCTGGCCTTAAACTTGAAATTCACTTTTAATTATCACTTAGGTAAATGCCCCTGACAGTAGCAGTTAACTGGAAATCTTTCTGGGTTATTAACTAAAGTGGAAATTCAATGTGAAATTAGCCAAACCGGAAAAAAGCTCTAATTCAGCTACGCCTTCAGTTTGACTACTCTGGCTTTAAACTTGAAATTCACTTAGAATTTTCACTTTATTTAATAACAATGCTAGCAAGAATTCCTAGAATTATTATTTATGGGGAAAAGTCCAATCTTTCCAAAGGTTTTTTTATTTTTTTCATGGACTTATCAGAACAATACATTTAGGCTGTTTGTTTTTCTTATCTGCAAATGTTATAACTTTTGGGAAATAATAGTGGAATATCATCAATCCATTTTAAATGTGGAGTTTAATGCCCAACTTTGCTGTTGTTTAAGGCACGGTGGGGTAAACTCTGCTGCTCTCTAATTGCCTTCTCATAGAGGTTTGTAGCTGTCCTTGTTCAAGAGTTGTGGGAGTTGCAGTGTGAACTGCTCCGTTCACTATATAGACAACAGAGAGGACCTAGCTGCCAGATGACACGCTGTGTTCTGGTTTTGGTGCTGGTTGCGCCCCTTCACGTTTGACCGAGAAATTTCTCCTTTTATATAAAAGAAGTCTAATGGCTGACCAACACCGCAATGGTGTACTCCGCACTTTACAGGTTACATTACAGTAGAGGGAGGTACAGTAAGTGCAGTAGGTATACAGTGTATGTATATCATATTTATATAGCGCTAACAGGTGTGCTCAGCACTTTACAGGTTACATTACAGTAGAGGGAGGTACAGTAAGTACAGTAGGTATACAGTGTATGTATATTATATTTATATAGCGCTAACAGGTGTACTCAGCACTTTGCAGGTTACATTACAGTAGAGGGAGGTACAGTAAGTGCAGTAGGTATACAGTGTATGTATATTTTATTTATATAGCGCTAACAGGTGTACTCAGCACTTTACAGGTTACATTACAGTAGAGGGAGGTACAGTAAGTGCAGTAGGTATACAGTGTATGTATATTATATTTATATAGCGCTAACAGGTGTACTCAGCACTTTACAGGTTACATTACAGGAGAGGGAGGTACAGTAAGTGCAGTAGGTATACAGTGTATGTATATTTTATTTATATAGCGCTAACAGGTGTACTCAGCACTTTACAGGTTACATTACAGTAGAGGGAGGTACAGTAAGTACAGTAGGTATACAGTGTATGTATATTTTATTTATATAGCGCTAACAGGTGTACTCAGCACTTTACAGGTTACATTACAGGAGAGGGAGGTACAGTAAGTGCAGTAGGTATACAGTGTATGTATATTTTATTTATATAGCGCTAACAGGTGTACACAGCACTTTACAGGTTACATTACAGTAGAGGGAGGTACAGTAAGTGCAGTAGGTATACAGTGTATGTATATTTTATTTATATAGCGCTAACAGGTGTACTCATCAATTTATAGCTTACATTACAGTAGAGGGAGGTACAGTAAGTGCATTAAGTATGCAGTGTATATTATTTACAGGCTACATTACAGTAAAGGGAGGTACAGTAAGTGCAGTAGGTATACAGTGTATGTATATTTTATTTATATAGCGCTAACAGGTGTACTCAGCACTTTACAGGTTACATTACAGTAGAGGGAGGTACAGTAAGTGCAGTAGGTATACATTGTATGTATATTATATTTATATGGCACTAACAGGTGTACTGAGCACTTTACAGGTTACATTACAGTAGGTATGCAGTGTATGTATATTTTATTTCTATAGCGCTAACAGCTGTACTCTGAACTTTACAGGTAAGTGCAATAGGTACACAGCTAAATAAAAATGACCTCTTAGCATATAACCGTAAAACCATGTAATGAAGTAATATATGTTTTCATCCCCAGTTCAGTAGACGTTCAGTCCAATAGGTACATTTACTGAATATGGCCCGATCCACTGTACTAACCCACAATAAACTACACCTCAGTTATCCAGCAGTGGATCATGGGATTTGTAGTTCTTCAACAGCTGGAGAGCACAGGCATTCCTGTTTGAGTGTATGCTGTAGATTTTTGCTCTGAGCTCCTCAATTATTTCAGAGAAGCAGCTGTCAAATGGAGCTTCTAGGGAGGGGGCAGACAAGCTGACTTTGTTCCATGGTTTGAATTAAGGAGAAAAAATGACACTCAATCAGCCCTGGGTGACTGGCACACCTGTCAGCTGAGCTAAGTAAGCAGTGCTTGTCAGACCAAGGAGGGCAAAATACAGAGGACATTTCGATATTCTTGCTTTGCCATCACTTACTAGAGGGGAGGTCGCTCAGACTAAGTGGGGTTAAACCCCAAATGAAGATCTGGGAGAGGCAGAAGATTTCACGTTATGTGCCCCAGTAATTAGCAGGTTGTTAACTCCAATTCCTTTTATCCACCCAGTAGCTACATCCAATACAGAGTAAGTAGACACGCTATATTTGTTGATGTTTGTAGAACATCAAGTAATGTAACTGAAATTTACAAACAGTTTTAAATGTATCCCTAATCACAAAAAATATATATTCTATAATAAATGGATGTGTATATATATATATATCCAGGGCCCTGTTTAACCTTGCACTGCAGAGAGTCCCATGAGTGAGGATTTCCTAAGTAAGTGGATTAATTGCATAAGAGCACGCATTAGGCTTCTAGAATAGCACCTGCCAAAAATGGGGTACATTGACGTTGTGACAGGCTTATGGAATGTATGATCACATAATGTAACTGAACCCCATTATTTTTGCCTAGGTGAGGTGTTTTTAGAAAAAAACTTACATTCTGTGAGCTTTAAATTCTTACCCCAGCAACTTACTCAAACGGTGTTCTGTTAACCTGTGATGTAGAAACAGGTCGCGATCTGATTGAAACGTTGGCTTGCTTGGTGTGTAGTGATAATCCTTCTATATTACCTCCCTACCTTTTGCTTGAACAAGTCACTCTGTGCTAATTATTGGTGCAGCTTTGTTATGGCAGATTTTTTTTTTCCGCACAAGTTGTAGAAAGATATTTATTTAATCAAATTCATAAATCTTTCTGCATTTTATTTATGAATAAGATAAACAGTGTTTCATTAAAAATCAAATTTTCGAGCGCACGCTTTTCTAGGTTTTGGGGTGTCTGGTTGGGAGATTTCTTTTTTCACTCATACTTACCAGAGTTTGCCCTTAGGCCGAAACCTGATTTTGATTCCTCAACACAAATGACAGTAAATAATTAGTTGTCTGGATGCTCCCAGTTAGCTGGTGCTTGTGTGATTAGGTCCAAATTCCGGAATCTTAACGTGTACCCTCCCTCTGGCTCTGAAATGGTTAATGAGTGTCGGTTTATCCCCAGGGTGGGGAATACAAGTGAACTGGGCTGAATAGAGCGTCCGTCTGGCCTAGAGGGGTGATAAGGCTGCACACTATGCCCCTGGTAAGGGGTTGCTGCCCTCCCGGGTGCACTGAGACTCCGCAGTGTCAGCGCTCTTCTGCTTGCGCACGCACTTGTACTTGAAGTAAATTTGTTTTGCAAGGGCAACCTGTTTAATCATTTCATCCTCTAGCGGCTGTGTGTTCGTTTGGTTTCCGTGGTTACGGGACCATTAAGTAGAAGTTAGCAATAAGGTAGCGGAGTCAAACAGGTAATAAAAAAATTAAGGCCATTTTGGGCCCAGAGAAGACATACAGAGGAATGTGGCGATGCATAGACTGAGAGAAGGGGCACTCAGCAAAGCTTGATGGGCACCTAGAGCCATCATTGAAATCCAGCTGATTATAGACAAGAAAAGCTGGGCATGTTTATCCTGCCCTCCCTCTGCTGCTTTAACCAGTCTGCTGCCAGAGGTCTGAGCAAATCTGGTCAACCCTGCAGACACGGTTTAGTGGGTCCCATTCACTTTTTAGGCACCTAGACTCTATTAGGGGAGATTAATTATGGATCCATGCGTTCACGCCTTACTCCCCTTATTGCTCCACTGTCGGACAATGTGTTATGATAGCCCTTGGAGGCCTGTGACTTCTTTTACAAAACTGATGATTGCCCTTTGATTCAGGTTGTTTAATAGAATATGAGTGACCTCTTTACCACCATCTGCCAGAATATTGCACCATCCATTAACTGGGCAGTTTCACTACTTGCTGGGTGTTTGGGATATGGTTAGTTATCACCTTTTCAGGGACTTTGGCTGTCAGTGGAAGGTGATAGGTATACGGTAGGATCATTGGAGTTTGGTCATGTTTTTTTGGAGGGATAGAGGCATTAGCAGGGGTTAGTGATGGAGTATGTCTACTGCTAGATTAGGTCATCCTATAGCACAAGGTGCTTTCCCTCCATAGGGAGATGCAATGACAATACACGGATTCTGATGTTTAGATGTTCTGTGCATTCTGTTAGAAGTACTCAGGCCTATAAAATTTAGTTTCATTGATTTTTCAAGCTCAGCCAGTTATGTACGGCTCAGCAATTACCGTTAGAAAGCAGGAAAGGCCGTAAAAAATACTATATTCCTTAGATGCCTTCTACCATGTTATTATCCTGGCAAATCAGCCCAGAACTGTAAGAAAGAGCCTGGTATCAGCGACTGTCACGTGTTAATAGTTCGAAAGTAACAGGAAATCAGCTGATACCGATACAACCACCCTGTTTATCACGGGTGTCCAAACATGGACTTTCAGCTGCTGAAATGCACCTTTTCCCATGATTATAGGATTTCTAGTCCAGCAATATCTGATTGTCTCTGGATACAACACCATCTGCTAGAACTTGGACAAGTCCTGCAGTGCCACAACATGGCTTTAATGGTGGCCGCCCCTCCCCAGCCTGTTAAATCATCTAATAATCAATCTGATCTCCCCAGCCACTGAACTGCCAGGTGGACAAGCGTTTTCTAAGTAGTTTTATCTATAAGGAACCTCCAGGAAAGGAAAGACGAGGCAAGAGGTCACAAGCCGATTCTAGACCCACAAAACTCTGAATGTTTTATACAGGCGGAAGCTGCTTCTAATTGTAATAAATACACAGACTATTTCTCCTCTTGCCCCACAAACCTTCAATGTCCTGTGATGCCATTTGCTAAAAATCACAGGCTGTGCCAGTTGTCCATAGGAACAGGTGCCCTGGCTTGTCCCTTTGGCTTTGACAGGGTTTTTGTTAATAACATTTTTCGGCAGAGTAAGAAGCCCTTGTTTTGGGATCTGCCAGCTTTATTTGCGTGTTCCACTCCGGGGTGGGGAGCAGCCCTTTTTTAAAAACAGTTGCTTGATTTCTGTATGTGGCCGAGAAACAGTTGTCCTGCAAAGCGAGAAATGTTACAACAACTGTGGTTCGTGCCGATATGAGGAGGGCATTTAGAGGGTACGGGCCATGCAGAAATGCAGTCCTAAATATGAGTCTGTGAGTACAGCCCCATGGAAGGGGCCTGAACACAAATTCTGAGGATTTTATATTTACAGACAGTGTAGCAGGATTCAGGCCTATAGATCGCTGGCAGAGAATCATGGGAGATGTAGTCCACAAAATCCGTAATGCCAAAAGTTAACCATCACTTGATTAGGTTGACCAGGTCCCCTCCCCTTCCTATTTATAGGTCAGCCACTCATAAAAATCTGTCCTTTGATTCTGTGTGTCCTTGGAAACTCTTAATATGTCTTAAGCGGAAAGCCAAAGTATTGTATCACGTACAACAATTCTCTCCGTCAGTAGAAAATATCTACAATATCCATAGTAATAAATGTGAAGAATTGGAATTATTCACATTATCTATAAATACGTGTGTATGTTTCAGTCCTGATTAAATCCCAACAGTGTGGTCATGTTACTGTAACATTTACCCTGCTATTGGACATGTTGCATGTTGTGAGGTGTAAACGTGTATCCCAAAATGGTAAAAAGGGGCTATTCTTTGGCTAGAAGCAGCATCTGAGCATTAGGAATATGAAAAGATTATATCTTGGGGCATGCTGGCACTAGGTACTTTTATTTTGAATACATTTTTAATTGAACTAGTTTTGTCGCTTTAGTTGAGAACACAATGTTTCTCATGTGATCCAGATGAGGTGATTCCATTGGCTGAGACAGAGTTTTGACGTATGTTTCCTGCGATTTGATGGGAAGCTGTGTCTCTATTGTTTGTGGGGCTGGATAATGTGTGTATTTCTGATTATTAGTAATGACTGTCCCACTACTCTTTATTATACTGAACCGAAGAAAGAAAATAGCAATCATATTAATAAATGAATCTAACTTTCATATACAATTAACTAAACTAATGGAAGGTGATTGTTTCCATTCTTTACCTGAACTTATGTCGAAGACTAATTGTCCATAGAAGCTGACACTCTGCTAGATAAAGTCATTCTGAGAAAATCCTGTTTGGACACGATTAGCATAGTGAAACTTCTGGTCATATTCTGGATAGTATTACAATGTATTTATAGAAGTAGTTACTTGCATGAAAAGACATTGGTGCTAAAAACGCTCATCTCATCTCACGATGGCACTTTCACTGAGAGGCATTGGACATCCAGCAACCAAACAGATAATGTGCTGTCCTGATCTGTATTTATTTTTCAGTTCATGCTTGGGGAAATTTATCTAACGTGTTTTAATCGGGAAAGTAGCGGAAAGTTTTTAAGTGGGGCAGTCACCGTGGAAACCAATATTGCAAGCTCTAACATTCTGTTGGTTTTTCAAACACTTTGCAATCCTTTTTGGATCATGACACTTTGATAAAACTCCTGTTATCTGCCAGGAATTGTCTTGTGTGTGCAGTTGAGCCAGGGATTGTCTGGAGGCTTCTTGTCATGGTGGTATGAGATTTTCTGACGGAATAAACACATTTAGCTGGCTTACATTAACCATTACATTGCTTTTATCGTACCTCCAGCACCGAAAGGGTCAAAACCAGTATGTGCGTCTTTGTGATAGGTTAATGATCTCTCCTACTAAATTGACAAGTGTATGTGTTCGAATTAGATTTAAGGACAAGCTTTGCAATGATCCTCAACATCCTGTTTAAATCCTTACTAAGCTGGCACAACAGACACTATTAAACCTATTGTTCTTGCCGTCTTCGAAATGTAATATTGAGCGATGCGGCAACAAGGAGGGAATTCTCAGGGACCAAATCCTAAAAAGTACAAGGATGAGAAATAGTATAGGACTATGTTAATCTGGACCCTTTATTTCCTCAAATTCACTTTATTTATTATTTTAATATCATGTAAAATATCTTTACAGTTCTGATATTATTGTATTTTAATTAAAATAAAAAAAACATAAATAATTTAGAAACAAAATTATTAAATCTGAACAGAATACTGTTACACAGGACTTGACAAATTCAAGGAGTCAGATAACCTGTGGCACCTCAAATAATTACTGCTGTTGCCTACCATTTTCAGTTATTTTACACAGAAATCTTGTGGCATTCCTTTACTCCACGTTGACCTCCAACTGTCCCAGGTCGGGATAGTTAATGCCATCTAATCTCTTTGTTCCTTTCTATATTTCTGAAACAGTAATGCAGCACAACGTCTTGCTTACCTCTCTCTGGTGATGAGTGAGTTAAGTCAGTTCAGCAGGAGACTTACAATTATTTGCAATTCTGGCTGTTTTTGGTAAAATGAAATTTAACACTGATCGTTCTTAACAGCTTCATCCAAGCGATGAGAGAAAACATAACAGGCTCCTGTGTGTCAACTCGCATTACCAGCCCACAATCTAGAGGGCAAGTTTGAAGAGGTAGGCCTCCCATTGTATTGTTATTATTTGTTTTAATTATTAGCGAGAATATTATTGTTAGTATTCAAGTAAATTTGGAGTTACCGGATTTTATAGCAAAAAGTCCATTGTTTGATAACCCATTAAAGACCTCCGATGATCTGTACCATCATCACTGTCTGGTGTCTTATTTGCAAAAAATATATTCCCACCTATTTAGCAGCAGCCTGGTTACCTAGAACTGAAAATGCTAAATAAATGAATTTTCACCAAAGGCATAGAATTTCCCACACATAAAAAAATAAATGAAACACATGTAGTAAACAGAGCGTGGAAAAGTCTCCCAGCAGAGGTGGTAATAGGAAATACAGTGAGGAACATTTAGTACCATTGATTAAATAACAAACAAAAAAGGCAGGAAGTAGCGAAATAGCCATGTGGTTCTTAAAAACGGTTTCTGGTGGGCTTATTCACTTAACGTTAAATTGTAAGCTTCAACAATAGACACGTTGGAAAGTATTTCTGGTTTGTAAATTCTAACCTACAATTTGTAGTTTACTGTTTATAAACCTCTTTGTGTGCATAGATATAGATGCCAAGCAATGCACATGTTCTCACTATATATGTACAGTACAAGGTATAGATCAAAATCTCTGCCCTGTCACCTGCACATGGCATGTAGTGTTGGATATCAAATGACACACTATATAAAGAGGAATAACGCAAGGCAGCTCACTTTAAAGGAGCCAAGTACAGCTGGGGTCAGTAAGTCAAGTGTCTGGCTCTACTAGTGAGCGGTACTTCCTGCCTGATCACCACATCTAACCCATCTCTGTACAGGACTGGCTGGAAATTAACCTGTTATATCCCTCCTACTGCATTCAGGAAGGGTTCTGTATTGGGTAATAGTGTGTTATTTTACTGTCTTCCTGAAACGTAGCAATTTTTAACCTACTGATGATGAGCAGCTGGCTGAGCACCATGGGCTGTGTAGTCCAGGTTAGCCTCCCCCTACCCAGACATGATACTTTTCTCCTTGGTGTCATAATTCCCTAGAGTTTCAGCTCCTAAGTCACACGCTTCACCCCTGCCTCACAGTAGCGCAAGAGTTGCAGCGCACTCAGGCCTCGCAGGAATGAGCGCAAGCTGCATGGACGACTTCTGTATGGAAATGAAGAATTTAGGCTAATGGAGCTCAACCATTTCTAATTTTGTGATGGCAAGAGGATTTTGATTGAAAGTAATTAAGCAAGCTAGCTGTAAAATTAATTAAAGCAGGGAGGGGGGGGGATTTTTATTGGATTGGATAGCGATATAGCGGCTGTCAGATGGGGGACGGATGGGGGTGACCTGAATTCTCTGCCCTCCCTCCTCCCACCCGGGACGTTTATGTCACTTTAATCTCCTTACAGCGGCTGGTGTGCATTTGTTTGAAATAATCAAGGAAATATGGTCAGAAATTGTCAGCTTTCAGATCTAATTTACCTGACAGCCTCTCGCCGGAGAGGGGGACGTTGTGCCTCAGTGTGGGCTTGTGTGTGTGTTTGTGGCTGTGTAGTCAGCACACTGCTTGTGTTACCTGGGAAATATTGCTTATTATAACTGTCACTCCATGTCTTGTCATGTTGTGTTCTCCCCAATGAGGGTGCATGCACTGATTACTTGCATTGAATGCTGTCACCAAACGATGCTGATTCACTGAATGCTGCTATTTTATACCATCTGCCCCCTTCCACCTCCTGACGGGTTTAGAGTCTAGCGTGTATAGGATTAGCACCGTGGCTATAATTCCTATTTCCATATGGCAGACAACAGCTAAACCCGTGGCAATCCCGCTGTTATTTCCTGCCAGCAAATAAGCTTTTATGTATGTGGATATTGTCACTTAATAAAGGTAATAACAGTGGATCTTTCCAAACCCGAAAATGATCTCCCTCACATAGAATACAGGTCAGATGGGCAGGGTTCGTTACTAAAGTGTAGATAGCAAGCGTGAATTAAAAGTTTCAGGCCAAAATAACAATATGGCAGACATGGAGAATTTAGAGAATAACCCTGCTGAATTTCCGAGCGAATGTTCAGATTCATACACCGATATACTACAAACCAATCAGAATGTCTCAAGCTTCACGTCTGCTCCTTGATAAATGATCTGCTTGAACACAGGTGTAAAGTGAGTGATATCTATATAATCGGAGTTATGATCGGATTCACGTTCCTTCTTTATCTTGGACATTTGTTGCGTCCACTGATAATGATGTCATTAACATAAAGAAAAAAATAAATACATTGGTTTTGGTAATTATTACGGAAATACAATGTGTCTACTACATTTGTATTCATTAGAAATAAAGGCCAGCTCCTTGAATCCTAGCATGGGGGTAACTGCTTTTACAATAAATGGGTATTAATTGCATGCATCTTCCGCATCATGTTGGCAGCTGTGCTTTTTACAAAAGACTCTTTCCACAAGTATTTGCCACCCAAATGCAACCGGTTCAGCCCTTCAGTGCGCTGTGACCTCTTAGGACCCTGTTTCTTAACAGAGCAAGCTGCCTCTGCAACAGGCCCTTATTCTAGGATTCGTTTTCTCTGGCTCCAAAGCTGACTTTTCCTGCCAGCATAGGGCACTGGAAATTGCTGGCACTGCCAAAACCCAGTGTGTGCGAGAGCTCCCCAAACATCCCTTTATTTTTATTGTTCTGTTAATTACTGTTTAAACTTTAATAAGTCACTTCGTCAGGAGGGGATCTCTAGTGAACTGATCTGTGCAAACAGAGCGCTCCCGTGGACCTCGCTTAAATCGGAGCCTTTTCTCCAGTGTGGGAATGTTTGCTTAGGAGAAAAACCTGTTATTTTAGGGAGAACTAACAGAAAATAAGAATTGCGACAGTTAAATTATGGGATCTGCGAAGCAGACAGTTTCAGAGGACCCTGGCCATGTGAAGTCATTCGGACACACGGGAACGGGGATGCAAAAAATGTAGCATGGCAGCCAGACACACTCACAGTAGCTGATAGAATCTTGTAAAGCCTGCGAGACATGCAGGACATTGAGATTGGAGACACCTGTGCAGCTTCTCTGATACCTTCAAAGATGTGCTACTTATCAGGGGTGCAAGTTTAGAAATGTAAAGACTTTTTTTTTGGGGAGATGCCAGTGTTTGTGTATTTGTGTATGTATGACGGTATGTGTATATGTTTGTGTGTATACTGATAGACAGACAGATTGAGAGAGAGACAGACAGATACCTGTGGTTTGTGAACATAGGTGGGGGGGGGGGTGTGTATCACACATGCAGATAAATATGCAACACATCTGTCTCCTGTGACTAAGGAAAGCTTCGATAAAAAAGCCAGGAAATTTCCATATTTGTGTAAATTGCTTTAAAAGCATTTTATCTTGTCATAAAAAGCCGGAGTGCTGTGCGAATGGTCCTGGCCTGAGATGATTGGACAGCAGTGCACGGCTGCTAATGGCCATTTTGCTCCAGGGTGGCTTATTAAAAAATTTATACACAAATGCTTAAAATTGCATAAATTATTAAAAAAAAAAAAAGAAGAAGAAGAAGAAGAACCAACTAAGCAGTTTAATCACAACCCCTCCTCTCCCACTGCCGTCCATGACAATGAAGCAAACACAAGCATGATTTGTGTGTGTTTGTCGGGCAGACATGACAATGCAGAGCCGTTAAGTTGTATCATGACAGGCTAAAGCTGGGCTGGTTTGGCAAAGCATGGGACATTTGTAGGGTGCTATGGTGTGTTGGGGTGCATATGGACAAATAAAGGATACTATGGGGTGTTAGGGTATATAAGTGTAATGACAGCTGGAATGTATAGCTGTATATGGGCAATCGATTGCATGCCCGGGTGTCTGTGGGTATATATGGGCAGCCTGTAGAGTACCTGGGTATATGGGGGCAATCTGTATGGTGCTAGGTGTGGGTATTTGGGGGCAATCTGTATGGTGCTAGGTGTGGGTATATGGGGGCAATCTGTATGGTGCTAGGTGTGGGTATATGGGGGCAGTCTGTATGGTGCTAGGTGTGGGTATATGGGGGCAATCTGTATGGTGCTAGGTGTGGGTATATGGGGACAAAATGTAGGGAGATGGATGTGGGTATATGGGGGCAATCTGTAGGGAGGTGGATGTGGGTATACGAGGGCAATCTATAGGGAGATGGATGTGGGTATATGGGGGCAATCTGTATGGTGTTAGATGTGGGTATATGGGGGCAATCTGTAGAGAGATGGGTGTGGGTATATGGGGGCAATCTGTAGGGAGATGGGTGTGGGTATATGGGGGCAATCTGTATGGTACTAGGTGTGGGTATATGGGGGCAATCTGTATGGTGCTAGGTGTGGGTATATGGGGGCAATCTGTATGGTGCTAGGTGTAGGTATATGGGGGCAATCTGTATGGTGCTAGGTGTGGGTATATGGGGGCAATCTGTATGGTGCTAGGTGTGGGTATATGGGGCAATCTATATGGTGCTAGGTGTGGGTATATGGGGCAGCTATATGGTGCTAGGTGTGGGTATATGGGGGCAATCTGTATGGTGCTAGGTGTGGGTATATGGGGGCAATCTGTATGGTGCTAGGTGTGGGTATATGGGGGCAATCTGTATGGTGCTAGGTGTGAGTATATGGGGGCAATCTGTATGGTGCTAGGTGTGAGTATATGGGGGCAATCTGTATGGTGCTAGGTGTGGGTATATGGGGGCAATCTGTATGGTGCTAGGTGTGGGTATATGGGGGCAATCTGTATGGTGCTAGATGTGGGTATATGGGAACAAAATGTAGGGAGATGGATGTGGGTATATGGGGGCAATCTGTAGGGAGATGGATGTGGGTATACGAGGGCAATCTGTACGGAGATGGATATTGGTATATGGGGGAAATCTGTATGGTGCTGGGTGTGGGTATATGGGGGCAGTCTGTATGGTGCTGGGTGTGGGTATATGGGGGGAGTCTGTGGGAGATGGATGTGGGTATATGGGGGCAGTCTGTGGGAGATGGATGTGGGTATATGGGGACAGTCTGTATGGTGCTAGGTGTGGGTATATGGGGGCAGTCTGTGGGAGATGGATGTGGGTATATGGGGGCAGTCTGTATTCTCTGCCCTCCCTTTATGGTGCTGGGTGTGGGTATATGGGGGGCAGTCCGTATGGTGCTGGGGTGTGGGTATGGGGGGCAGTATGGTGCTAGGTGTAGGGGCAGTCTGTATATGGAGATGGATGTATGGGGAGTCTGTGGTGCTGGGTGTGGGTATATGGGGGCAGTCTGTGGGAGATGGATGTGGGTATATGGGGGCAGTCTGTGGGAGATGGATGTGGGTATATGGGGGCAGTCTGTGGAAGATGGATGTGGATATAGGGGCAGTCTGTATGGTGGTGGGTGTGGGTATATGGGGGCAGTCCGTATGGTGCTGGGTGTGGGTATATGGGGGCAGTCTGTATGGTGCTAGGTGTGGGTATATGGGGGCAGTCTGTATGGTGCTGGGTGTCGGTATATGGGGGCAGTCTGTGGGAGATGGATGTGGGTATATGGGGGGAGTCTGTATGGTGCTGGGTGTGGGTATATGGGGGCAGTCTGTGGGAGATGGATGTGGGTATATGGGGGGAGTCTGTATTGTGCTGGGTGTGGGTATATGGGGGCAATCTGTATGGTGTTAGATGTGGGTATATGGGGGGAGTCTGTATGGTGCTGGGTGTGGGTATATGGGGGCAGTCTGTGGGAGATGGATGTGGGTATATGGGGGGAGTCTGTATGGTGCTGGGGTATGGACATAATTGCACAATTTGTAGGATACACGATTTTTCTTTAACTGTGAATGCCAACTAACATTGTATTCCTGTTGTATTTTATACCCCTTGCCATTAAATTGCTGCACTCTGACTGGGGATGAAATAACAGGCAGAAAAGGCAGCACTACACTGCATGCTGGGATTATACGTGAATATCTGTATCCGCCACCATTTCCTGTCTTTACATCTTCAGTATTGTCTGATTTGAGGAATACTGTGCTAATTGGGAAACAGATAATTGGGGCAACGTTTTAAAAGTGCAGCATTCACCATCAAGGCAAGTGAAATGTCCCTACAGATTCTTTTCACTTCAGTGGTGATTGTTTCATTGTCAACACTTTGCCCCATCATAATCTCTATAGCTCCAACATATTCCACAGCGCTTTACAATATTACAGAAGATAATTGACAAAATAAAGTCGATGAGGAAGAAGGCCCTGCTCAAATGGTCTATGAATTGGGGTAGAATAGCATAACATAAGTAAATTGTACATTTCTAATTGAGTGAATACTCACCAAGTCACAGACAGATTGTTTAGCCTGTTCCCTAGGCCCCCTGCTTTATCCCAACATTCTTACAATGTAAAGGTGAGTAAAGGGGCCAACTGCACTTCTACCACGAAATTCCAGTCTACCTGATTCTCAGCTCTCCGAGCACCTGTCCATCAAACAGCAGGAGCCATGGCTAGCAATATAGAAACCAGTAAAAAGTTGCTCTATCTAGGCAACAATGGCTTTGCAGAACCCCTGGCCACGGAGAGAGCCTACGGAGCAGATGCTTTACAGGGCAAATATAGTGTATTTATGTAAAGTGCGCTGGATGATGGCGCGTTTGTGTGATAAATACACAGATGTGAGCGTGTGTGTTTTTGTGTGAGTGGTTGTCCTAGCAGGCTGGTTTGGGCAAGCAGAGCTGAGCTGGCTTTACATTGATTTGTGTCCACAGCACAGCTGACGACCTCTATAGAGGAACACACATAATCAGCCCTGACGCAAATTAGATGGTTATTCGTTTTGAAAATTGACAGAAAAACAATAAAAAAGATGAAATGCTCCCAAATCAATAGATATAATGAAATTCAAATAATCCGAGAGATGAGGTCTCCATGGCAACTGATAATGTGGAAAAGAAAACAATTTAATAAAGGACAGACACACTTTGCAAACAGATTGGCAAAGGGGGGGCGGCGGGGGCCTGGTTACTGCGTCTCCGTGAAGGATCACTGTCCGTCCCAAGGACGGCTGCAATAATTAAGAGGGCCTTTCGGTCCAGAAAGTGCAGATTCAGGTTTTAATACACAAAATTATTTCAGGAGCAGTGAATCGGAAAGTCGTTTGTTTTGACCTTCCAGTGAGGCCTGCAGCAGGGCATGCCGGAGACGCCAGGGCTGGAAGGGCTGAGTTATGGCATATTTGTGTTTTTATAGAGCTGAGGGGAGGGGGAGAGGTTAAACAGTATTTACAGCTCACTTGTTTTCAGAAGGAGAAAGAAATCGAGTTTATGGGGAAAAAAATACAAGAGGTGGATTGATTTTTTTTTTTTTTTTTTTTCGTGGTTCCATAGTTAGGAAGCGTTGGGAAATATCGGGGGATTGTACTTTATATTCCTCTCCTTACTGCCATACGGGGTATGATTGGCACCCAATACATCTGTATATTCTATTTCATTATAAAAATTGCACGATAACCTTGTTTTAATTTGTGTGGAAAACATGAAATTGGGACTGTCCTGGTGACATACATGTTTTCCAACGTGCGTTTATGGGGCTATATTGCCCTGTATTGCTGATGAACTTGAAAGGTCATTTACCGTGGATTGGATGTTGATGGAAACTCATTTCTAAGCTCTATAATCCGGGAGGAGATAGAACACATTGCAAAATACCACTGGGTTAAGCTTTCCTCCTCTGGCCCCTAATAACCTTATTCTATATTCTGCTAAATTTAAATCATTGCTGCATGGGGGGATTCCTTTACCCAACTGCTGTCCTTGAGTTATTAGCCAAAAATGAAGCATTGAAGTCTTCTGTTTCAAATGAGTTAGACACACAATCTCCTTGGCTGTACCCATCCCACCATGATGCCTTTTCTATCTTTGGAGCCCCCGTATGAGGTCTCCTGAGACTGACAGTTTGGTTTCTATATGTTTAACATTTTCTGTTAATTTGACGTTAAATAGAAACATCAACACATTTTTTTTAAGCTTTTTGAATTCTAAATGTTACAGTGTGCCCCAAAAATTGTATGTTTGTTTAGAGTTTAAAAGAGGTGAGAGTAACAGTTATTCTGTTTGGGTATTTTCTTTAACCTATTGTACAAGCAGCAGACGTGTGGTAATCCACATGTTTATGTAGTCCTGAGTATTTCTCTGTGTGAAACAAAAACATTCTTTGTTTTTAAATGAGCGTGTTCCTAATTTGTAATAATGTGTATGGGATATAGACTCTCATCTCATTACATACACCAGTGTGGTGCCGGGCTGGGCCAGACTTCTACTCTCGACAAAACAGGCAAAGGTACCGTGTTGGATTGAGGTTGTGGGACTGTGGATTAAACGGAAGTCACTGTCCTTTGATGGTCTGCATGTTGCAGGAGACAATCACTTTTTGTCCATGAATGTTATAAAGAGCATTTCTGTCATCTTTAGTGAGTCTGACCATTCTCCTCGGTCCTGTCATTAAAAAATAGGTTATGTCAACAACACAGCTGCCTGATAATTGCCTTTGTTTATTGCACCATTCTCTGTTCGTTCTAACGACAGTATTGCATGAAAATGCTGACTGATTTTGATAAAATGGAACCACCGCAGTCACTTAGCTCATATGTCATGCCCATTCTATTTGGTTAAATCTCTAGCCATGTCAACATACTTTATATACGGAGTTACTCTACGTGATTCCCATTCAAGTTTAACTAAACTCCCCCTCCATGAACTCTGTTGGGGGAATATTTGTTAAAGTACCTAAATGTGCGACTGCAGCTACATCCATCTCCCCGGACAGTTTAACATCATCTCGGTGGGATTTGTTGAAGTTACTACCAAAGCTGAGCAGTGCTTTGTTCATTAGGTCTCAATAGTTCTAATGGAGGCACTGTTCCCTGTTTCTTGCCATAGTCGCCATAACCACTTACTTTAGTTTTACAATTGCATAAGGAAAAATCTATTCAAAAATCACCAAGTTAGACTTTGAGAACAAGTAAAGTTTCCAACACCCTCCAAAGTATAGCTGCGAAAGCAAATCGACCCTGTTTAGCTTTTTATGTTGTGGACATGAGAGTTCTTGTAGTCTCTGCGTGGATGAATACACTCTGTGCTCACATTGAGAATGTTAAAATAAGTAAATAACTTTAAGCCCAAATCAAGAAACTATAAGAATTGGCAACATTTCCCCAGAATACCATGGAGACATATACAAACACTCACATCAGGAGCTTTTCGATTAAAATCTCCTGTTTTTGTAATTTCATTCAGAAAATGGCTAATGCATTATGCACAACTTTTAGACCAAAGTAAATGTTTCTAAACCCCAAAAATCCAGGGGTGCAACATCCAAATTTGGAGATGACCCAAACATTATGGAAATGATTTTCTTATTTTCGTTAGGTAGCAAGCAAATGGTTTGTACGATAATATGTCAGGGATTTAAACGTTTTCAGAATTTAGTGATATTGTCTCTGCTAATGGTTATAATGCCACAGTTCCCAACATATATTGCCACTATATAACCTATATTCCCCTGTTCATGCCAGTTCCAGTGACTGGCACCCGTTATTAAGATTTGGCTGAGATTTAGCGGCTCAGTCGATGTCCTGGGAAGGGGATACATCTTAAAGAAGAAATATGTGCTTTCTTAAGCAGTGCTCACACTGAATGAAATGTTCAGAAGTCTCGCCAAGGGGTAACTCTTTATTTGCAAGCAGGGAGTTCACAGTCACACAGACATAGCTATAAAGCAGAGTTCAGGGAGCTGACAGCCGGCCCTGGATTAGGAAATCTATAACTCACTGCTCCCCCAAAGCCCCCCCAAGACGGCATGATTTACTGATATGGAGTGGGAGGAGGGATGCCTATAATAATGGGAGCTGGGACACTGGCAGTGACAGTGGTAAAGGAAGAACAATGCAAAAGACAATGGCATTTAATGGACTGCAATGCAGGAGTCTATGTCCCCATTATCGGAGGACGTGATGTACACAGTGCGGTCACACAATATGCTGGGTATTAACAGAGGGCATTGTAATGGGGCTTGTTTAAACAGGAGACACGGCTGCCCACTAAATATAATGTCTATAGACATTGTAATGAGACCCTAACTAAGCCTGCAGCCAGGGATGTCATAGATCAAAAAATTTCAACTTCCTTCTTCAACTATTTATTTTTTAATCTAAAAAACAAGAACCGAGATGATGTGACAAAGTCCATAACAACTGAAGCGCTATTTCAGTCTCAGCCATTGCAGTAGAAGGACCCGTGCCATGGGCAGTACGGGCAACCCACCTTCATAAGCCAAGAGCCCAGCCATCTGCCTTCCGGACTGTATGAGCGGTCATTTAGTAAATCTTAGTTACCAGACACTATATATATATATGGGCTAGTATACAGATTGTATAGTGGGGCAATAATTAATTCAGGCTATATAAGGGGGTAGTTAGAGAATTATATGACAGCTGTCCCAATACCCGGGGTAGATTTAAGGCTGTGTAAGTGGACAGTTAGAGAATGATCTGACAGCTGTCCCAATACCCAGGGTAGATTTAAGGCTGTGTAAGGGAACAGACAATGATATGACAGTGGTCTCTATACCCGGGGTAGATTTAAGGCTGTGTAAGGGAACAGACAATGATATGACAGTGGTCTCTATACCCCGGGTAGATTTAAGGCTGTGTAAGGGGACAGTTAGAGAATGATCTGACAGTGGTCTCTATACCCGGGGTAGATTTAAGGCTATGTAAGGGAACAGAGAATGATATGACAGCGGTCCCCATACCCGGGGTAGATTTAAGGCTATGTAAGGGAACAGAGAATGATGACAGCTGTCCCAATACCCGGGGTAGATTTAAGGCTATGTAAGGGGACAGTTAGAGAATGATATGACAGCGGTCCCCATACCCGGGGTAGATTTAAGGCTATGTAAGGGAACAGACAATGATATGACAGTGGTCTCTATACCCAGGGTAGATTTAAGGCTATGTAAGGGAACAGACAATGATATGACAGTGGTCTCTATACCCGGGGTAGATTTAAGGCAATGTAAGGGAACAGAGAATGATATGACAGCGGTCCCCATACCCGGGGTAGATTTAAGGCTATGTAAGGGAACAGAGAATGATATGACAGCTGTCCGTATACCCGGGTGGATTTAAGGCTGTGTAAGTGGACAGTTAGAGAATGATATGACAGCTGTCCCCAAACCCGGGGTAGATTTAAGGCTATGTAAGGGAACATAGAATGATATGACAGCGGTCCCCATACCCGGGGTAGATTTAAGGCTGTGTAAGGGGACAGTTAGAGAATGATATGACAGCGGTCCCTATACCCGGGGTGGATTTAAGGCTGTGTAAGGGGACAGTTAGAGAATGATATGACAACGGTCCCCATACCCGGGGTAGATTTAAGGCTGTGTAAGGGGACAGTTAGAGAATGATATGACAGCGGTCTCTATACCCGGGGTAGATTTAAGGCTATGTAAGGGAACAGACAATGATATGACAGTGGTCTCTATACCCAGGGTAGATTTAAGGCTGTGTAAGGGGACAGTTAGAGAATGATCTGACAGTGGTCTCTATACCCGGGGTAGATTTAAGGCTGTGTAAGGGGACAGTTAGAGAATGATCTGACAGTGGTCTCTATACCCGGGGTGGATTTAAGGCTGTGTAAGGGGACAGTTAGATAATGATCTGACAGTGGTCTCTATACCCGGGGTAGATTTAAGGCTATGTAAGGGAACAGACAATGATATGACAGTGGTCTCTATACCCAGGGTAGATTTAAGGCTGTGTAAGGGGACAGTTAGAGAATGATCTGACAGTGATCTCTATACCCGGGGTAGATTTAAGGCTGTGTAAGGGGACAGTTAGAGAATGATCTGACAGTGGTCTCTATACCCAGGGTAGATTTAAGGCTATGTAAGGGAACAGAGAATGATCTGACAGTGGTCTCTATACCCGGGGTAGATTTAAGGCTGTGTAAGGGGACAGTTAGAGAATGATCTGACAGTGGTCTCTATACCCGGGGTAGATTTAAGGCTGTGTAAGGGGACAGTTAGAGAATGATATGACAGCTGTCCCCATTCCCGGGGTAGATTTAAGGCTGTGTAAGGGGACAGCTAGTGACTATGACACTGGTCCCTATACCCGGGGTAGATTTAAGGCTGTGTAAGGGGACAGTTAGAGAATGATATGACAGCGGTCCCTATACCTGGGGTGGATTAAGGCTGTGTAAAGGGACAGCTAGTGAATATGACACTGGTCCCTATACCCGGGGTGGATTTAAGGCTGTGTAAGTGGACAGTTAGAGAATGATATGACAGCTGTCCCTATACCCGGGGTGGATTTAAGGCTGTGTAAGGGGACAGTTAGAGAATGATATGACAGCTGTCCCTATACCCGGGGTGGATTTAAGGCTGTGTAAGGGGACAGTTAGAGAATGATATGACAGCTGTCCCTATACCCGGGGTGGATTTAAGGCTGTGTAAAAGGACAGTTAGTGAATATGACACTGGTCCCTATACCCGGGGTGGATTTAAGGCTTTATATAGGAGGTAGGGGAATCTTGCAGCTAAATTCTGTGACAGGCCAGGATGTGCCCCTGTGTATTGCCAACCATTCAGGAGACACTGAAAATTTCTCAGGACCTGTCGCTAAAGATTTAATATTTCTTTGAAATGAGAAACGATTCTCCAATGAATTTGAAGAGCTGTGGAATGAATGTCACCTCCCTTTCAGTTTCTGCTGCCCGCTGATTTGAATATTTATAAATATCAGTAAATTATTTATCGGGGCAATCTGCTGTATCATTTAACAATTGCTTTTAACACTTTGTGTTCTTCAGCTGTGTCTGGAACGGCGCCTAGCTGCACGACTTCAATCTACAAATAGTGATACCTGAAATTTATAGATGAATCTGTGTAATTTCCTGTGTAAAATACATTTATAGCACATGTATCTCCACTACTAATAAAGAACCAACAATCAAGATGGGTCACGTCATGTTTGTTACCAATTTGTTGTATAATTTTAAAACATGCAGTGATATTAACAAATATATACAGTTGTGCAACTGTATTATTTGAAAATAATATATATATCCTGTTTGGGTACTGAAAAAAATATCCCAAGATTTTTCTAAAATGAATATTTAATAATGTTCTGAGATGTAACTGTAGGTGACAATATGTTTAAATACAGTTACATTCAGTTTGAGAATTGTGGAAGGTCTAGCTTGCTTGAACTGTAACTCCCATTGCGGCTGAGGTAACAGGAGCTGTCATGTTCTTAAATACTGGATTATCACATATACCAGAGCTCAGGACGCATGTGGCTCTGTATGCCCACAGACAACAAGAGATTGCAGTACCACTCTCTGTATGTTGCCCTGTTGATTGCTACGTTTGTGTAATAAGTCTCTGAATGCCAGTTTGTATGAGAACATGCTCCCCTGAGGTCAACTTGGCACAGTGCTACAGAGGCGACAGGTCCGTGTATTGCCAAAGGTACAGATGGCACCGCTCAGGGGTGAATAGTCTGGACTGAAGAGAGAAAATCTCTTTATCAGACAAGACTACAGTAATTAGGTTTGCCTAAAAAAATTCACAATATTAAATATTTTATATTTTTGTTTTGTGTTAATAGGTGATGAAAGTGGCAAAATTAGCTTGAGGTGTCCATTTTATAATTCACTGTTGGCTCATTGGTACTTTGGCTCAGTAAATGAGTAATGGCAGGGTGAGGATGATAGGAATACTTCGGACTCCATAACTGTATTACTGATATATTTAACAGATCTTCCCAGGTAAATTGGAACCAATGTGAAGAGTGAACAAAGAAGAGAAAATATATTGTCGTACTCTTCTATAGACTAGATAAGCATGGCGTGGCCTGGGTGATTTTATAGGCAACAAATTGGCTGGTTTTGAGTTAAATATAAGAGAGCTGAAAGTTTGCTTTGGAGACAGGGACCTTAGCTGATCCCATTATTGCTAATCAGTTGCGTGGGTCAGTTTACTCCCCGTCAGCAGTCTACAAACTCCTAGCTGCCCCATTCTCAGAAAAAGAATCCAACAATACAGAAAATACAGACGCTATATACATATCTCCATTGGACAAAATGAGGCTCTGTTTGCAGCCATATCGCTATTAATCTGAAGCCTCACTGTGAGAGAAATCCCCATGGTCGTCGGCAAGGGATCGCACAAATTCAAGGTCGTTTCCTGAACTAAAAGCAATAATGTGTTTTATTGATAAACTGTACAGCAGAGTGCTGTGTGCTGTATACATAGAAATACAGAGTCGTGCAGTGTGGCTATTAGGACAGCACATTGTTTTATGGGTCCTTGTCATATACACTCCGAAATACGGGGAAACGCTCAGCCTCTGGGAAGACACACAGTTACGTGTAAGCTACAATTTCCCATAATGCCTAAAGACTTTGTGGGAAATGTCAATCAAACAGAAATCTACAGTACCCAGATTGTGAGCTGACAAGCAAGGTAGGTTCCCAAGAGGGTTCGCTTCGATGGAATCCCCATGGGCCGATTGTGTGCGGTTCTACGGAAAACTCAAACTGAACCAAAAAAAAGCTGCAAATTTAAATTGCCATCTAGGCCATCAAACAAATGGTCCCCCTCGTGCCCTCGAATAAACAGTCTCCCCTAGGTATGTCCCCCAGAGATAGATCATAGGTGGCTAAACTGGGCACCCCGCTTATTTAGAAGTGCAATTCAGAAAAGGCTTGCCACCACTGCCAGAAGCGGAGAGGTGCTCAGACAGCCACCAATCAGTAAACACGGCCGGTTAAATCTTGGTCGATTCTTGGGAGTTGCTGTTGCAGTAGGGAGGCAGATAAAGGGTGCAATCATTGTTTGGAGCATTGTTTGAAGAGGAAGCTCTGTGTGTAAATACGGTAGTTGGTGGAATGAGATGAAAAGTTCCGTTTGACAGGCCGAGTTTATAAATGTCTTCCTTATATTGATGTGAAATAAAATCATTTTTGTTTAGCTAAAATTAAATAAAACGGGATGTTTACTTTAACAGAGCAATAATAAACTTGGCTGATTTAAGTAGAACAGACACGGAGGGTTTTGTTATTGACTCTTTAAATGCCAGTGTGCACATTGCTCGATGCTCAGATCATTAAAAAGGTTAAACATCGGTTTTCCAGACGCATATTTCATGTTAGATAGAGCAGATTTTTACTGCGTTTCTAAACACGCAATGTGGGAAAGGTGAATATTTCTGTCCTAAAACATGAACCTCTATAGTTCATATTCCTCAGCCCCTCGATGGAGAGTTTTATGATGTCAGCCAACATGAGGAAAACAATTGCAATTTTTCAGAGTATAATAGAAGAGATGCCTTGTGAATAGTGACGGAGAAGTCTACCATTATAATATGATTTTAAAAGGGACATTTCAGAAAGTGAGCAGAGTTTTATATAAATCACACACCTTTATAAGTAGCGTTCTAGGTGGGCTTTTTATTTTTGTTATTTCACAGCTTTTTTGGTGGTACACTTTTGGTTAGTTATATTTGCAGCAGACAAAGCTGTCCACGCGGTGGTCTTGGTGTTGTTGCAGGGATTCGTACATTAATGTTTCTCCAAAGGTTCATCTGGACTGACTGTATCTATTTCTCAACATTTACTGTCTCTCTTCCTTCAGTCTACCCTGGGCACTTCGCTCACCCTTTTCCAGCTTTCAATCATCTCAGATCTTTTATCATTGTCACTCACCCTCCCAGTCAGGCTGTCTCAGGGGGTTAGCGGACAAATTCTACTTTTCTCTGCACAGTCACTTGCAAGGTGCAGATTGCATACGGCAGCCTTTCTGCGTTAAACAGAGAAGCACTGGATATTAGACCATTGCTGGAGGAAAATGTATCAGTGGAGATAGATTGCTACCTAGCTACGAGCGCTGGTCTGTCTGTTTCAGACCCACATCTTGTAAAACTCCACTCATATTACAGGACCTGTCAAGAGTTTAAGTTGTGCAGTAGTCGCGTTGGCACATTGACAACATGTTTAACCTCCTGTGTGTTGCTGCTGCTCTGTCAGGTTAGCGGATTATAGCTTGGAGAGCACTGTAGGGGGTCTGACTTACCCCTACTTCATTGCCGGCAAGATTCTGGTTAAACAGACAGGGTGATCCCCTCTGAGCTGCAGATTTGTATCACTTGCAGAGGTCGCATCGAGCGAGTAGCGGGTCACTAATTGATAGCTTTGCATGTGTTTTTTTACTAGCAGCTTAGAACTAATAATGTGTTTTCTAATCTTGAGCTGAACAACAGTACGAAAGCTCATAACACTGCAAAGCACAGAATTAAGGTTATTCTACAATATGGTTTGCAAAGTAAAAAGCCTTTGTAGGTTTCTAAAGGAGTTTGTATCTTTAAGTAGTATAACCGCTCTCTGTTTGCACCAGATTTGCTTATATGTAAATACATTTCCTAGACCTACATGCCAGGGCTGTAGGGCCACCTAGATCCTTAGATCTGAAGTGCTTGAATGTGTTACCATGTTGGTGCAATAATTTTGTGACTAAATTTTGTGCAAGCAGTAAATGTCTCTCTCTCTTTCTTGGTTTCTTCCTCCTCTTTAGCTGAAAGAGGTGTTTGCACTGACGCAACCTCAGGAAAGCCGAAGATGGCTGCCAAACGAAAAGGCGGCCTGAAACTAAATGCAATCTGTGCCAAACTCAGCCGGCAGGTGGTCTCGGAACATGGATCAGATCTAGGAGATGCGGAGCCAGGGCCCCTGGACAGCAGCGACAGAGAAGGTGAAGCAGATCCCACGGAGGGTCTCAATAATGATCAGCGGAGTGCAGAGGAGGACAAGCGGCGCAGGGAGGTGATTGAAAAATGGGTCAATGGAGAATATACAGACGAACCTCCTGAGAGGAAGGTGAAAGAGTTCAAAAGGATAGGTGTTGCAGAGCTGCCTCCTGAAGGTGTCTACATGGTACAGCCCAAGGGGTGCAGCGATGAAGAAGACAACACCGAGGACCCAAAGATCACCCAAAGCAACAGATACCCGGAGGAAAAGGAGTCAGATAGGACTGTCTCTAAGGACGCTATAGAGGCAGCTGCAAAACTAACCTCAGGGGCTTCTTCAGGTAAGTGACCCTGTGCAGGCCCCTTGGCATTAAACTCTAGTGGCAGAAATCTTTAGAGTGCCCAAATCGGCCCAACACAATAACTAGTCTTGCCTTCGATGCAATAAGCCTTATTTTATTCCCAGTTTGAGACCCTGCTCTGTGCTACTGGGAGAATGCGGCATACAGGGCATTATCCCCGAGGAGGCCGACACAGAGTGTGGGTTTTGTGCTAGATCGCTGCTTGCCTGTTATTGGCGGCCAGACTGCTGGCTCTGACTGGCAGTGCAAGCCTCATAATTATGCATGAAGATATAAACAGAGCTGTTTAATTATCCTTCACAACATCAGTGACAAAGTAATTAAACATTGTGAGATCAATGGGAAGATGTGTGACCTTCAGCAGACGCCCAAAGCAAAGCATTTCCCTCGAAAGGGACAAGGTGACTCCACTCATACGAAGACAGGGCCACACATAGACATGCGAGCCATATTCAGTGCCAAGGTGCTGGGTGCACTACTGACTGGGGATCCCAGAAACCCGCACCAAGCTTGTGTCAGCGTGGATCCCGCACAGTGAGTCCCCTGACATCGCACCAGGTCACAGCAGGGAGTCCGATTTATAGCTCACAAACACCAAGCATTTTAAACAGGCCTGCACCTCCAGCGGAACTGGTTATTGTATTTAAAGATGGCATGATGTCTATATAGTACCTAAATCTATTATTAGAGATACAGTATTGATAGAATTGTTCATTATAGCAGCCAGATGTCTCATCTAACCTGCTGAAAAACATTTCACACTGGGGTTTATCCACTAAACTGGTCATTTTGGAGAATTGATAAGAAATTGCAAGTTTTGAGGAAACAAAATAAATATTTTAACTTAAAATTTGCTGTCATTAACCAATAGAAAGGTAATTATTCAATAAACTGGTTTCTGGATTGGACTGACCACCATTAGGGAGAGGGATTGGTTATATTTTACATATAAACTTAAGCTGACTGGGAATAGAGAAATTATATGACACACGGTTTAGTAAATACAGTTATTATAACCATTATTTTAGTACAGGCATTCAGCAAAGCTTTGATTCTGTCATTTTTTATTTTTCGGGATGTACAATACGGGCGTAAAACGAATATTTACTAGATGGTGGAGATGACAAGGCAGGCCCCTTTACTGAAGTTTTTGAACATTTTGGAATTTCTATGGATAGAATCTCACTGAACATTATCAGTGATGCCAAAACTTCCCAAATGTTAGGTAATAATTGATGTATGTCTAAAGAAAAGGAAATGTATTAGCAGTCTGCGGGATAACATTAAAAGTAAGAAGTAATGATTTATGGATCACTTATTGATCACACTGCAGTTTAGCACCACTCTGTATCCCTAATGTTGTGTCCTAATCAATAAAGGCAAGAGGCTGAATGATGTTATAAAGTGAGGTAACAATGTGAGTCACTGTCCTATAAATATTGTTCATATTACACATTAACTTTACCCAGATCCCCCTCCTTAATCAGGGCACAGTGTGCATATAGAAAGTCTGCATACTGTGTATTGCACGCGCACAGCTTTATGAGGCCACACAGGTAAATTTACGAAGCTCTCTGTGTCTTGACAGACAGGACTTGGCTCCACTTCCAGCAAAATGACTTTTTCTTCATAATAGGCCAAAGAGAGAGCAGATACATTTTATGAAAACTTTGTTTAATGTACTGAAAAGCCATCGTTGAGAACATTTATTGAATTGATTTTCCTGCCATTGATGAACTCTATTTTATTCTACTCCAGTATTAATTACCTTCATTTTTTTTTTTTTTCCTTTTTTCAAACAAATTAATTTAAGTCATAAAACGTGAGACAGACGTGTGGGGAAGGATAAGACTATCTCTGTGTCTGGCCATTAACACTGAGCATTTACCTCTTTTCACACAGGAGAAGCCTCATCTTTGCGTGAATATGCAGCCAACACAATGAGCGAATTCCTTGGCATGTTTGGGTACACGCAGCCCAATGTACGCGATGAACTGGCAAAGAAGATTAGCTTTGAGAAGCTCAATGCTGCTACCTCACAGTCCATCTCTGCAGAAGACCTCCTCAGCAAGCGGGCCAGATTCTCCAAATATGAGGAGTATATCCGGAAACTGAAGGCTGGCGAAAACCTTGCCTGGCCTACCCAGGTGACCAAGTGTGAAGAACTTAACTCTAAAAACCTTCAGGCCAAGGATGGTGTAGGCCAGCAACCAGCACTGCAGCCACTGCCCGCTAGGGTCCCTGGGCATGAGGCAGCCATTCTTCCAGAGTCAAAAGTCACTGTTGTACCCCTGCCCACTGCTGGCAGCTCCCACATGCAAGGCCTAATATCCCGACCTTCCAAATACGACTTTTTCATTCAGAAGTTAAAAACGGGAGAGTCCTTAAAGACGCAGAATGGGAACACCTACAAGAAGCCCTCGAAGTACGATTTAGAGAATGTCAAGTATCTTCACCTCTTTAAACCGGGAGAGGGGAACCAAGATATGGGAGGCTCCATAGCTTTTAAGACAGGAAAAGTGGGACGCCCTTCAAAATATGATGTGCGCAATATTCAGAAGCCTATCCCACAAAAGGCAGCTGCAGTTGTCCCCAGCTTATCCCCAGCACCCATCACAAGCACTCCTGTCCCCCCTCTGCCAGCAGCAGAGCAGCCTGTGACTTTACCCTTCAACACTCCTGAATATATGAAGTCTACCTTCTCTAAGACAGACTCTATCACTACAGGGACAGTCTCCACAGTCAAGTAAGCACCATCAGACATGTAATGATTGACTTGAGCCATTCTCAGCTCACTTGTTTTGGGCAGGCGTTGTTAGAAAGCTAGCTCCACCATACAGCATGTCCTAGTGGACACTAGATGCACCAGGTGTAGAAATCTAGTGGTCAAATCCGAGGAGATGCATAAAAGCAGAAATATAGATAATTTCAAGATGTGTGCTGGATATGTAACATATATGATCCTTGTAGTATGTAACTAAATAATATGGACATTTATTTTTAGCAAGCACAGACAGTCAATAGGACTGTGTGGTGAGTTTACCAGGTGTAGTGGGCAGATAGCTAGAGGATAAGACAGGTTTGGGTCTTTGTCAGGGAGGAGTAATGCAGGTTTGGGTCATTGGCCGGGAGGAGTTATTCAGGTTTGGGTCATTGGCAGGGAGGAGTTATTCAGGTTTGGGTCATTGGCCGGGAGGAGTTATTCAGGTTTGGGTCATTGGCAGGGAGGAGTTATTCAGGTTTGGGTCATTGGCCGGGAGGAGTTATTCAGGTTTGGGTCATTGGCCGGGAGGAGTTATTCAGGTTTGGGTCATTGGCAGGGAGGAGTTATTCAGGTTTGGGTCATTGGCCGGGAGGAGTTATTCAGGTTTGGGCCATTGGCCGGGAGGAGTTATTCAGGTTTGGGTCATTGGCCGGGAGGAGTTATTCAGGTTTGGGTCGCTGCTTGGGAGGAGTATGGGCTTTGGTATAAGGGTACAATTATGGTAGTCCGTGATTACTTGATATGAGGGATGTGTTACAGTGTGCATGGAGAACCGATAAAGAAAGGACCTTGGACCAGTGATGGCCATATCTGGTACTGTAGACGATTGTGAACTATATTACCCATTAGAAGGCTGGCTAAGCATCATGGCAAATGTAGTTCAGAAACCTCTTTGGTGTCCAGCTTGCCCATCGCTGGGAAGGTGTTTCTAGATAAGAGCTGGGTTAGTGGCGATGTACCTAATTTAGACAAAGTTGGGCTTGGGGATTTTGGGTAAAGGTTACTAACATCCAGATCCGGGAGTGTGGCACGAGACGGAGCTGGGTAGGGCGCTGAATGGACTCTAACCAGCTCTGCCCTGTCTTTCTCACCAGGAATGGACTGCCCCCAGACAAGCCCCCAGAAGATGTAAATATTTACCAGAAATATATTGCCAGGTATGGAGATGGGGAGAGTCGATTCTGCCTGTAGGTCCATGTCACAGACTCTGCCATTTCTCTTTAACATCCTCACTAACCTTTCACCCTAATGGGTCAGGGAGATCAGACACCAATGCCTGGAAACCACTCTGCCAATTGGCAGGCTGTGTGCATCGGTGTGAAATGATTGCATGGCGTGTGTATTTGCATGTGTGTTTCCATACCAGTTAGTCAATTATTATTGGCCCAATCAGTGTTTGTAAAGTTGATCCCCTGCACGCCCTAGGATTTGTCTGTTTCGATAGACCGGATATATCTATCAGCCCATTCAGATACCTTTCTCTCTCTCTTTCTCTCTCTTTCTGCTCTTCCCTGTACACATTCTGTTCATCTCTGTCTCCTTCTTTGCTTCCTTTTGCACCTGGCCTCCCTAACGGATTCTCTTCCCTTTCCTGCAGATTTTCAGGTAGCCAACACTGTGGACACATTCACTGCGCATATCAATACCGCGAACACTACCATTGCCTGGATCCAGAATGTAATTACCAGGTGAGAAGCCGCAATACAGCCTCTTACTCCTAGCGTTAAGGCTTATAATAGATAAAAACACCTACACACAGATTGCAAAGATTTCTCAGAGCTGGTCACTGCAGTCAACTAACCAACGATAATGTTCAGGTTTGACGGTTTAAAACGTCTAAAGGAGCCACATTGTGACAGATGTATCCATTATTTACAGGGAAAAACATTGGTTAAAGGGGTGTCAAAAGAAAACCCACCACGTATTCCTCCCATGATACTTTGTCAGCCTTTGGGGGTCTACCTTTTGGCTATCCCTTTCTTGTATAAAGTAACAAAGTATGGTATTTATTAATTAATTAATTTAAAGTAAATCACGCAGTGTGTGCCCAAACACTGCTCAGTTGCCGCCATCTTTTCTGGAAAAACACACACACACAGAGCAGAGAATTGGCTGTTATAATGCCATAGCCTAAAGCAAGAATGTTTATCCACATGTAGCATTAGGGAAAAGCTGTGATACTGCACCGAGAGCTCTACATTTACCTAAATGAGCCTTTTTTTTTACTGAAACTGACCCTTCTTGTGATCTACTTTCAGAGATTCACCAGTAAGCAAGACGTGATCCGACATTACAATATGCACAAGAAGCGGGACAACTCCCTTCAGCACGGCTTCATGCGTTTCAGCCCATTGGATGATTGCAGCGTTTACTACCACGGCTGTCACCTTAACGGCAAAAGCACACATTATCACTGTATGCAGGTAACTTCCCCAGTGATTGGACTTCCAGCCAGATAGATGGGGCATGGGCCCATGAGGATTGTGGGAGATGTAGGTCCGTCACAGTCTGTTGGTCAATAACCGGAGAGACCAGCAATGTTTCAATCAAGTTTGGCAACAGATCGTATTCTCCATTGCTGATTCTGTGACTGGCAAAATTTTATGGGAAATGTAGTCCAGCATACATTATCCCTGTTTTCTAGGCTTACTGTCTGATTATCTGTAAATACGGTAGTTTAGCACCCTGCTCTGTTATTCCAGATCCACCATTGCCGCACCCTACACTTTGGTGCAGTTGCAGGTCCAATCAAGTCTTGCTTCTAAACATTTAGGCTACACCCTATCCTGCTGCCTTGTCTACCAACCACCCTATTACTTCTAGATAACTTTAATCTCTGTCTACTTTACCCCACATTACACTGCACTGACTCGTGCATGGCATGAGCTTTACAATATTTACATTCATTGTCTGATCTGTACCATGTTATCACTGCAACTCCCATCACGCTTAATCAGAATCCAGTAGGTTGCACAGTCGTGTGTAAAGACTATTTTAATTGGAATTGAACAAAATTATAGAGATTTAATATATAAATATATTAATATCTACATGTTAGGAGACTTACAAATACCTAATACCATATTGCAAATTCCTGCACTTTACACACAGAATGCCGTTATAATGTAGGCACATTTCAGGTTATTCTATAACCATGAATTTTGGGGAATTCACCATGAAATGGCCAATTATTAGATGGTGAAATAGAATGTTTCCATTTAGCCTCTTTTTGCCTAGAATTTGCAATTCCCAGATGAAGTCCCAGAAATTCACTAAATTTTACTAATTAACTCTGTTTCTTGCTGCTGGACCTAACTTTGTGACCACTTGCTTGGTCTTTACCTCGTAGTACGGTGGCTGTCACAACTCCCACTATCCTTATTTTGGCTGTAGGTGGTTATGCAGGTAGCAAACCTACTCAACCTTTGACATCTGCTGTTAATTCACAATACTAGTAGATGCCTGAGCATGCTAAGAGGTGTAGTCCATAGCAGCTACAAATATTTTAATGAGAAAAAAAAATTAATGGAAAATGCAAATCCCTTCCTCAAGGTGATCCGGTAATCACGTTCTCTCTGCTCCCAGGGTGGCCTGATTGCTAAGATCTGTCTGGGAGTGGGAGCTTTCACTGAATGTCTATCAGTCAATGATTGTTGAATAAAAGTTTTCAAAGGAACGGGCAGTGAATTTTTGTGCACACAGTTTGCTGCTCACAGCAGCTACAGAACCTCGAGGAAGCCTAGTCCTGCTAAGCAGTTACTAACCTCGACTGTCTGCACGCTCTGGGTGCACGACAATAATAGGTGTGATTAAAAAAAATGAGTAGCTTTTGCAGGACGCACTTTCTTTATGTCCTTAATTGGTGTGGATAAATTTCAGTTCCTTGTTTATACAAAGCCCACATTTTTCAGTCTTTAGCACCAAGTGCCACATTGCAAGTTATCCCTCAGCCGCTTTTTGTTTAATTCTATTTTTCCTCGCTGATCCCGTGGTGGGTTCTGCTTTTTTTCAAGGTGTCACCACTGAGTAGGTTTTATACTGCAAACAGCTGGGAAGGGGTTTTTTTTTTTCGCTCTGTTTTTTTCTTTTTTTGGGTATTTGTCAGGCTTTTGTTATTGTCTGCTCTCATCAACCTGCTTGTGGGTTGGGAGTGACAGAAGGAAGGCACAAGAGGTAGTGCTGAGTATATTATTTTTCCCTGTCGTTTGAGATGGAGCAGACCCTGGCACTCATCTCATGATTTTTCCCCTCGCCTGCCGCATTTTCAGATTCCGCAGCTTTTTTTTTTACTCAATATGGCAAAGTTGCCCGCTTTGCCTGGAGACATATGCCAGAAGAAGGACAAGTTGAACATTCCATTACGTGACGTGTGCTTGGCGGTAAGATGAGCTTGTGTATCGTGCTACTGCAGACACCCCAACACGGGCAGTATCTGGTCCATCTCAGCACTTCAGTTTCAAAACATTAACATCTTATTAGGAGCAATAATCGCAAAAACATCCAGTTGGTCTTGGAACATTTCTGTGCAGTGAAACAGAAAGTCCATATATTACACAAAGAGAAATGTTCGTTGATGGAGAGGTTAAATCATTCCATTGTATCAAGCTCAGGATTCACCTCTCCTAGTTTAAAAAAAAATAAAATTACTTCTATGATTCAACCTAAAAGCAATCTTACAAAATTTGTAATATATCTGTATGTGAATTAAAGATAAACATTGATCAACTCCAGGTCGGCTGCAACAAGGTTTATACCAGCACCTCAGATGTGATGACCCACGAAAACTTCCACAAGAAGAACACGCAGCTGATTAATGATGGATTCCAGCGCTTCCGAGCCACTGAGGACTGCGGCACCGTGGAATGCCAATTTTACGGGCAGAAAACCACACACTTTCACTGCAGGTAAGGAACAGCAGTAATCAATAAAGAGGTACCACATAAAGGACTGTAAGACAGCAAATGGTTTGCTTTGGTTCATTGTAACGGGTCCCTGGTCGTTGAGAGCCAAGCATTAGAAAATAATGTCCCAAAAGTTGAGAGTAATTTAGGTGTCCTCATTGTGTTCGTTAGAACATCATTATGGAAGGAGACAAATTGTCTATAGACAGGTTGATGGTCATAATGTTACAGTTAAGAATGTTTTTGTATCTCTCTGAAATTTGCAGGCGACCAGGCTGCAGTTTCACGTTTAAGAATAAGTGTGACATAGAGAAGCACAAGAGCTATCACGTAAAGGACGATGCTTACGCCAAGGATGGCTTTAAGAAGTTCTATAAATATGAAGAATGCAAGTATGAGGGCTGTGTGTATAGCAAGGCTACTAACCACTTCCACTGTATCCGCACCGGCTGCGGCTTTACCTTCACCTCTACCAGCCAGATGACCTCGCACAAGCGTAAACACGAGAGGCGCCACATTCGTAGCTCTGGAGTCCTCGGCCTGCCGTCTTCCTTAATGGGAGGGAAGGACAATGACATGGAAGAATCCAGCAATGATGATCTCATTGACTTTTCTGCTTTGAGTAGTAAGAACTCTAGTTTGAGTGCCTCCCCCACCAGTCAGCAGTCTTCCGTATCCCTGGTCCCTACTATTTCTGAGGCATCTTCTCCACAGGCTCACAAAGCCACCAGCACCATTCCACCCACTACAAAGATCTCCAACATCCTGACCCAAGCACTGCCCAGTAGCATGCCCCTGGCTCTGGCATTATCTAGTTCTACACAACTTGGAACTGGGACATACTTTCCAATCATAAGTAGTCGTGGTGGTTCCTCTCTTCCCATCAACTCTACAAACATAATGCCCATAGCTGCCCCTGACTCCTCTCCGCAGTCTGCTTCAGGTGCCAATGATCAAAATAGCACTTCGCCAGCCTCCACTTCCATTATGGAAAGGATGTCAGCTAGTAAAGGTTTAATCTCTCCAATGATGGCAAGGTTGGCAGCGGCAGCCATCAAGCAGTCTCCATCTCCTGAATCAGGTGAGAGTGGTTTGGATAAATAAATATCAACTCATCACGCCTTTATATTGTTTAAACAGATTATGCCAGTGAAATCTGCTGCATATTTATTTTTAAATTATGTTTCATGTCACCATAGGTATAGGACAACCAATGGCTCGTGTTTGTGTAGGACCGTTCAAAACAGAACCTGCAGACTCAGAAGGGACATTGCCCCAAAACAGCTCTCAGGAGCACAGCCTGGACCTGAGCTTGAACAGGTGAGCAGTGATCGCCGACATGTTGCAGCTACTTGGGAGCAAACAAACAGCAGTGCAGTATGTCCAAGCTTTGAGTTTCACTGTAACTAATGAAGGATATTAAGGTAGCTTCACCCATTCCCAAAACTACTTTGCACCTGGTGAATGGGATTGTGAGGTTACGAAGGATTCTCCAAATCTGTATCTCTCTCTATTCTGTCTAGTGTAGGTGGAGACATATACCAGTTGGTTGGCCGGCTGGATGGATAGAGGAAGATATATTGTAAGACAGTAGGTTAGAGAGATTAGAGGAAACCCAGATTGTTTTCCCAAGAGGACTTAAGTATGTGCTTTTAATTTCCAGTTCTGAATCCAATGGACAAGACACAAATCCCGATCCATCACTCCTTCCTGCTACTCTGAACAAGGTGAGGCTCATGTAAGATATTGTGTGGTGAGGGCACAATGGTCACACAGTATGATTGCAGACCCTTTAGTAATTTAATATAATTTCAAGTAAGTAAAATCTGTCAGTAATGAGTATTCCTAAATGAATGCTTCAAGAACAGAGGCAGTCACCAAGGGAGCAGTGATTCTGCTGTAAAGGGGGGCAGAAATATTGCACTGAGTGTTGCAGTGAAAATGTTGGCTTCACCAAGATGAGTGCTCTTGGTAAAGTGGTAGGTAGGCAGTCAAACTGCGGCCCATGTGATGGCTAATGACATTTTCCATGTCTTGTCTCCAACACATAACATACATTTACACTATTAATATACATCAAATTCAAAGAGTGCATAAACACTCAACAACTTTTATGATCTACAGACCCAGCACTCCAATTCCCATCCAGGGAACCTCCCCAGTCTAAAAACAGACCCAGACAGCAGTGACTCCGGAGCTGGAGAGTCCACACATTACCTAGGAAAGGTAATGAAGGCGCTCGCTCAGGAAAAGCAGACGGAGCCCTGGAGAACCTATCTGCGCAGGTACTGGGAGACAAATAATACTTTTTTACCCACTCTGCTGGCAATCTGTACATTGCATTCACTACTTCTTTTGTGTATAAAAGTTCTTCCTTGCATGTCTTTGATCCTTACCCACGTCTTGCTGTGGGAAAGGCATACTACAGTGAAGTGTTTTGCAAGTTATATTGCTTTTTGTTAATATATATTCCATGTTAATACATGTGTAAGAAGGCGTGCTGGTTTATGTACGGTGCGGAGTGACACAGTATCATGTGTTGCTAGGTTTGGCCCGGCAGATGTGTGTGATGCGCAGTGTGATTTCCTGCACAAATTGCATTTTCACTGCATAGTGGAAGAATGTGGAGCCCTCTTCAGCACCATGGATGGTGCAATCAAGCACGCCAAGTAAGTGGTAAAGAGATAGACAAGCTCTGGAACTTGGCCGCTTATTTCTCAGCCTCTCTAATAATGCTGATTCTTTATGCTCCCCACCCCTGCCATTTTTTTCATAGGTTTACTTGTATAATTGCAGCTTCCACTTCAGGACTGATGTGGGTACTCCGAAGGGCAGCTCGGATGTGCATTTTGCGGGTGACATGAAAATCTCTTCAGAGGCTTCACCCCCGTTTCCCTCTGCTGTGGCACTTGGCTGCGAGGTTACTGCTCCCTGCTCCGCTGCTGTTCCTTCTACTCCGACATTGCTGGCATGGAAACAGCTGGCATCCTCCATCCCTCAGATCCCTCAAGTACCCTCCTCAGTGCCCAGTCTGGCATCCTCACCCATTGCAACAACATCACTGGAGAACGCAAAGCCTCAAGTGAAACCAGGATTCCTGCAGTTCCAGGAGAAGTGAGTGCGTGAGTCCAAAGACTTGCTTAGTGATGGCATTTAATGGTTTCCTTCCATATCCTGCTACTTTAAACTCCTCTTACACATCCATAATCTCATTCTTCCTTCCCACGTCTGTGACTAACCTGTGGCATGGCAGGAAATGGGCCTAGGGTGCCACTTTTATGCCCGTCATGTTGGAAATCTATTTTCATACTTTGTATGAAGTGTTTTGTGTGCTCCACTTGCAGTTTTTACCCAGTATGTTCTAGCAAAGTGGAGCCAGTCTGACGTGGGCCAGTGGTATGATCTTTACATTGTCATTGGATGCAGTAACATTTTCCTTGTGTGGTTTGTCTTTCCAGTGACCCTTGCTTGGCAACAGACTGCAAATATGCAAACAAGTTTCACTTCCACTGTCTTTTTGGAAACTGCAAGTATGTGTGTAAAACGTCAGGTAAAGCAGAGTCCCACTGTCTGGACCACATCAACCCCAACAACAGCTTGGTGAACGTGCGAGACCAGTTCGCTTACTACTCTCTCCAGTGCCTATGTCCCAACCAAGTGAGTGGCACTATCTGGCTGGCAGGAGATTAAATAGGAGCCTATAAATACTAAGCATCAATAAGCATTGAAGTGGAGCTGTACATTTAGCTGACATTGGATGTGTGAGTGGTACATTATATATGGACAAAAGTATTAGGACACCTGACCATTACATCAACAGGGACTTTTATGACATCTCATTCTAACTACATAGACATTACCCGCCTATGCATCGGATGTTCAATCCGCTTTGGGACAAGAGAGCAGATGCCTCTCCCGCCTTTAGGGCTCACTAGGCCTCTAACTCGGAATTCCGTCACGAGAACTGAGCAAGTGAGTACTTACTAGGAGCCCAATATGTCACTTAGAACTCCGTTATATATCAGTGTGAAATGAGGAGCTCACTCCATCCTTGTTTGCTCACCACAAGATTCTAAAGTGTTTCTGCGCTAATATTTGCCCATTCATCCAGTAGAGGATTTGTGAGGTCAGACACTGATGTTGGATGAGAAGGACTGGCTCGCTATTGCTGAGGTCAGTGCTCTCTGTGGGCCAGTTAAATTATTCCATACCAAACTCATCCAACCATGTCTTTATGGTCCTTGCTTTGTGCACTTGGGCACAGTCATGCTGGAATAGAAAAGGGCCTTCCCCAAAGTGTTCCCACAAAATTTGAATTATAGCATTGTCAAAAATGTCTTTGGACAAAGATTTCCCTTCATTGTAAGTATGTAGTTTAGTCCAAAACTTGAAAAACAGCCCTATACCATTAGCCCTCCACCACCAAACTTTACAGTTGGCACAATGCAGTCAGGCAGGTAACATTCTTCTAGTATCTGCCAAACCCAGACTTGCCCAACAGATTGCCAAACCGAGAGGCGCAATTCGTCACTCCACGGAACACGTTTCTACTGCTACTGAGTCCAGTGGCGGCGTGATTTACACCTGTCGATTAAGCTCCCAGCGCAGTTTTTGTGCTGATAATGGATGTTTGGAACTCTGACAGATTCAGCAGAGCGCCGGCGACTTTTATGCATCGTGCACCTCAGCGTTCGGTGACCGCGCTCTGTGACTTTATGTGGTCTTCAGCTTTGTGGCGGAGTAGCGGCTGTTCCTGAATATCTAGCAAGGATGAAATTTTACAAACTGACTTATCGCAAGGTGGCATCCTATCACAGTACCACACTGGAATTCACTGAGCTCTTCAAAACGACCCATTTGTTCCACAAATATTTGTAAATGCAGTCCGCATGGCTAGGTGGTTGGTTTTATACACCTGAATTCAATAATGAAGAGATGTGTCCCAATACTTTTGTCCATATAGTATAATAGGAACTACTCGTTCAGTGAGGGCAATAGCTCTGTAGCTGCCATGGTAGGAGTGGTGACTAGTGTTATATGTGGCCGATTTATAGTGCACAGGTGGGGGTACTATATAAACATATAATTAGTATTTTAATGAGGTTTACAGATTAAATGTGCTTCTGTTTGTTACTGAATACCATGTTGACTCTTTCCCCAGCACTGCGAATTCCGGATGCGAGGGCACTACCACTGTTTGCGTCCAAGCTGTTACTTTGTCACCAATATCACCACTAAACTGCCGTGGCATATAAAGAAGCACGAAAAGGCTGAACGGCGAGCAGCAAATGGATTCAAGTACTTCACCAAACGCGAGGAATGTGGGAGATTAGGTCAGTACCGCCATGAATTAGAAGGTGCTGTATTTTATATGCATTCCACCTTCCCATCCTCTCTACGTTTTATTATTTCCTGTGCAGACTGCTCTAATATTTAGTTGCAATAGAGGTGGCATAACTACGAATAAATAATGGATGGAAAGATGTACTATTGTGTGTAAAATGCACACTGAACTATCCAAGCATTGTAAAAACGAAAGAAGAATGTAGCACACAGAGCAGGCACTTTCTTCATATGTAAAAAATGTATTTTAATTATCACATTTGAAGTGGCTCTTTAATAGTCTTTGAAAGAGCCACATGCAGTGTAAAAACTTTTCTAAACACAATCATTTGCAGAAAGCAGTAGGTTTTATATTAAGAAATAAAAAATAAAAAAAACTGGAATGCTGTGTCTGCCTGGGTACAACTGGATATTTTTATAGAAATAAAATACCACGGGATACCTTAACTCCCTCATAGTCGGGCAGAATTACAACATGTTCGATCACTCTGGAAGGAGAGACATTTAAGTAATCACTGTTTCTGGTGGCGGTGGAGAAGGGGTTAACTTAAAAAAGAGAGAGACTGTGTTCTATTCTTTCAATAATTGGGTGATTTTGTTTCAGCCTTTGAACAAGAGGCCCCACATCTAAATTTCTTGAATCAGTGAAGCGTTTGCAAACAAACGCTGCGCAGGACCTCACCCTGTTCCTTCATAAAGAATTCATGTCCCCAGTTAGAAGTGGCTGCAGTTACCACGGTGATCGGTGTAAACAGACACGACTCACTGCTGGCTTCTCTTACAGATGTCCGTAATTGCCGTCACTGTTATTTGCTCACCTTTTTTAGTTACAGGTGCCGGGCCAGCGAGTAAAGCCAGACCGCAGTGTCATGGAGACTGCAAATTCTCACCTGCAGCCTCTTCACCTGCTTGTTTTGGTTTCCAAAGCAGAACACAGGCAGGCAGACACAATATGCGAAGAAAATTAGCTTTTAGAAGAACCAATTCATTGATAAGAATAATAATCATTACAAAAAAAAAGTCAATACAGCTGTGTGTTAACAGTAAATCATATCATCTTTTTCTTGCTAATCAAAACAGGAGAACGAATGTAAATGCAAAAAGATAAAAAAAATGTTGTGAATCTGCACAGATTCAGACAATGTAATGCCCTGTTTCTACTACAATGAAAAAACTGCATAGAGGGAAAAAATTAGATTTAGGGGGTTATTCACAAAACTGTGAATTGTTAAACAATTGGATCAGCACTGTTCACCTTATAGTGATGAAACCCATAGATTTAATGTCCGTTATTTCCTGGGTTATATATTTTCAGTAAGTAAAAGCAAATGTTATGCTATAGGGAGATGTGCTATGAATTGCGTCTGCCCTCTGCATTTTATAAGGTTATAATAGTTCCTTTAAAGTGACTTGGTGAGGAAGAGGACTGTGGTCCCCTGTAGAAGCAATGCTCTGATTGCCCTCAGGTACTGGCAGGATGCTGGTAGTACACGCGTGTCTTGGTGGAGACGATTTAGGTTTTTCTTTTCCGTTTTCTTTCTTCAGGGTGTAAATACAATCAGGTGAATAGCCACTTTCACTGCATCCGTGATGGCTGTCAGTTTTCCTTCCTGTTAAAGCATCAGATGACCTCACATGCCCGCAAGCACATGAGGAGGATGCTGGGGAAGAACTTTGATCGGGTCCCTCGCCAGGTAATTAGACTCCAGTTCTTGACTAAGGAGCCATTGTATGAGGACGTTTGCATCCGCCAAATGGAGTGGCTGCTTGAGAGTCTCGGGAATTCATCCACACTTTGTGCCTTCCCAATGGGCAAGGAAACCTATACAGTCCTGACTTTCCGCTATTTCCTTTGTCTCTGCAGATTCTTCCTCACACTCCAAGGAGCGACAACCTCTCACAGTTGAGTAGCACAGCAGCTAGCCCGTCCTCTACGGAGAACCTCTCTTCCTTCCAGACCACCCCACAAAACATGATGGACACAGAGACAGATGAATATATGGATTACACGGCTGGTGGAAGCCCTGGCGGAATGTCATCCGAGTCCTCCAACCTAGACCGCAGCTGCTCCAGTACGCCAGTGGGAAATGACAGCACTGATGCAGGTAAACAGAGTGACCCTTTCAACATCCCAAACAAGAACAGAAAGGACTGTAGGATATCCATGGCCTTCTTAATTAGAGGATTATAGCTGGAGCCCATGCTATATTATTTCACATGACTTTATACACATTACTTTTGTCACCAAAGTACAGCTATGACTTCCAAACCATCATTAGCCTTTTCGTGTCCCAGTCCATGGACCCCTTATTGATGGGGCAATGAAGCCACTTGCATGTTACTTCTCATGCCTATGGTCTGGTGACGGGAGCTTGGGCTTCCCTTTTCTGCTCCATCCCTGTGAAATTCTACGTTTCATTTCATCTCATGGTTTTCTTTCTCCAGCTTCTCATTTTGGTTCATTTTGTTTTCTTTCTTTTTTTCCCTCTCTCTCTCCCCCTCTGTCCGTTTCTCCGGCTTTCTCTCCACACTCTCCAGGCTGCCAGGTCCCTTCTGCTTCTGGAGATGCTCTGACCCACAATGCACCACCAGCACCACCTGCAGCAGTGGCTGCCTTTCCTCCAGCCTTAGTCACTTCTCCCCTGTCTTCCCTCCCGTACCTGCTCTCTCCATCCTGTGTCTCATACTCCCTGATCACTGCCAGCCTTGGGGTCAGCCGGGGCATTGTGGTGCCAACCAGCAGCACTCCAGCTTTCACACCAGTAATAGCCACTCCAGCTCCAGCCAAAACTGATGTCCCTCTAGTACAGGATGCTGCAGGTACCTTTTGGTTTCTTACGTCCCATGCATCCATTGTGGGGGTGAGGGGGAGGTTTAAAATATGTTTATGAAATAACGGTGAAGGAGGCTCTATTACACAGGCAAAAAGTATTTCCAGGATGAAATTATTAATTTATTCATTCAAGCACCATGACCTGGTTATGGTGTCAGTCAACGGCAAGATATCAAACCGTTTTAGTACCCTGGGCCCTCGTGTAGTATCCGCTCGTCTCCAGTAGGAGAAGTTGGAGACCTCTGTAGCGTATAGACTGGTTGATGTTGGACCACGCTCATTGGATGGGAATGCTCAGCTGACACTCTCAGCCAATGGTGCACGGTTCTACTTTCTTTTATGGAGCAATCCACCTTCCCGTGCTGGTGAAGACCAGGACCCAGGTAAGCTGTCAAGCCTTGCTAAAACAGTTTTGCTTTTTACCATGGGACGGAACCATGGCACTATTGGCACCATAACCACTGCTTAAGGTGCTTTGAGTGTTCCTGTAAGTTTTGTTTTCCAACATTCAACCTGCCATTTATTTAGAGACTACAAGAATGTACAGAGCCCTTGGTACCAGAAGGACCATCCGTGTGGGAGTAAAGTCTTTACTGACCAGACTGGGGGAGGGTGTGGAGGGAAATGTTCTTAAGGGGTTAAATGGCTCTCTGCCTCATGTAAGATTTCCATATCTGGCAGGTTTGCAAGCTCCAAAAGGTTGTATTTTAGAGGATATCGTAGTAGTTTATTTAGCTGCTGTTATACTCTGTATTAGCTGCAAATATCTGGGTATTAAGTATGTAGTAATGCAAGGAATTACATACATATAGTCAACGTTCTTATATTTTAAACTACTTGGGTCTAAATATGTATTTTTTTACCATTTAAAAAAATCCTGTAACATTGAAATGGGTGCAGATTGTATGGTACATGGAGTTCCAGGCAGTAGAATGCTTTAATAGAAGGACATCTCATAGGCCCCCCACCCCCGTGTGCAGCACAGGCCTGAAGTATGGGACCGTTTAGCACATGTCCTTTGGGGTCTCACCATATATATAACAGGTTGTTCCTGTATAACCGAACATAACTCCAAGATAAATCTGCTCAGGTTTCCAGCTGTTGGTCCTTAGAAGGTTTAAGCTAGCCCTCCGTACACGTGAAGCAAAAGAGATAGAAGTTCTAATATTAAAAGAACCCTGAGATACTTGTCCCAGTTTAAACGTTTGGGGTTCCACAGATACTATGCTTTTTAGGTTTTTAGTTTACTGCTTGAAGCAGGATGTGAGGTGAATATGAAGACCATTCTTGTGACCATTTTTTTTTTTTTTTTTTTTAAGTGTAGGTTTCTTTCATTTTTGTGTTGGATATATTGGGAGACAGTATCCCAATATAGTTCGCTGTGTCCCTTTCCTCATAGTGCCCGCTCTTCTTCTTACAGGAAACACCATCACTATGCCGACAGCTTCTGGGGCTAAAAAGCGGTTCTGGATCATCGAGGACATGTCTCCTTTTGGCAAACGACGTAAAACAGCCTCCTCTCGCAAAATGCTGGATGAAGGGATGATGCTAGAGGGATTCAGGCGTTATGACCTGTATGAAGATTGCAAGGACTCTGCATGCCAGTTCTCTCTAAAGGTCACACACTACCACTGCACTCGAGAGAACTGTGGCTACAAGTTTTGTGGTCGTACCCACATGTACAAGCATGCCCAACACCATGACCGTGTGGACAACTTAGTTCTTGATGACTTCAAACGATTTAAGTCATCCCTTAGCTGCAACTTCCCTGACTGCCAGTTCTCGGGAAATAGCACACACTTTCACTGCTTGCGTTGTGGCTTCCGCTGCACAGACAGTACCAAAGTAACAGCTCACCGCAAGCATCACGGAAAGCAAGATGTCATCAGTGCTGCTGGTTTCTGTCAGTTTAGCTCCAGCGCAGATTGTGATGTGCCCGAATGCAAATACAAGTTGAAGTGCTCCCACTTCCATTGCACTTATCCCAGCTGCAAGCACACTGTGGTGGGAATGTCTCAAATGGACTCGCACAAGCGCAAGCACGAGAAGCAAGAGAGAGGAGAGCTCCCATCTGTTTCTCCTGGTCCTGATGGGATCACTCAAGCAGGTGCAGAGTATGACATCCAAAACCCACCTGTGAATTTGGACAGCTCCCTAAATCTGAGCACAGACCCCCATAACTCTCTCCTTTTCCTGCAGAATGCTGTTGGGGTAGGTCTTAATGACTCCCTGGACCTTAGCAAGAAGCCACATGATGGGTCTGTGTCTGGCCCCAGGAAAGAACTGCAAGACAGTCTTGCGGCCAACTCTGGAGATGCAGATGATGACTTGTCTCAGGATGAGGATGATGATGACGATGACGACGATGACGACGACGATGATGAAGAAATGAATGAAGACGAGGAGGAAGATCTGAACACAGATTCAGACGATTCCTTACCTGATAATGAATGCTTAACAAGCAAAGGAATCGAGCCAAGTGCTGAGGGTCCCACAAACCACTGTGTCACTCCCCAAGCCCCACTCAACCTCCAGATATCCCCCTAAATAAAGACTTTGAATGTGTTTTATCCCACGCACAGAACGTCCTGCGCTCTACACCCACATGAATTAAAAAAAGAACAAGTGAAGGAATAGTAAACTAAAAAAGTTGTGTCTTCTGCAAAGATGGACTAATAAATAGACAGTACCGGGGGTACGTGTGGTGGCCAGCCCGCTTCATTAGGAAATAATTCATTCTGGTGCTTGAGAGCAGTGGGACAGCGCAGATCTGTGCATGAATCTTTAAGACATGAAGACCTTCTGCTCTTTCCAACTTAAGAGAATCAGAAGAGCACTATCAAGGGGGGGGGGAAGGGAGAGAAGAAAGGGGTACTTGTTGCTCCTCCTCTAGCTTCACACCGTTGGAACAGATCCATGTGTGGCTGTTGGGAAGGAGGAGGCCAAATGGGCTGGGTTTTGGGGTATTTATTGACTAGCATTATCGGGTGCCCTGCAACAAGGATATCTGTCCTGTTCTTCCAGTTTGTCTCTGGGTTGTTCCCGGGAAGCTAATGTTTTATTTTATAAATATTTATATAGAAAGCTTTCCTCTGCACCAATTGCTCCAGTTTATTTATTTATTTGGTATTTGTTCTTGGCATATTAAATTGGGACTTGGCTTATGTGAGTGGCCACCAGAATCTCACATAGTGGGGTTCCTTTGTACCCTATAGGACATGCTGTTGCTGCTTATTAAGACATTGGTGAAATGTAGTAAGGGTAGATTTGTGTCATAGAAGGTATGCGGAATTAAAAGACCCATAATCTGGTTGCCTCCCCCTGCTGTATCACCTTCAGATCAAGGTCCACGTTAGAGACGGTTATTACTCAGGGGTCTCCACGGCTGCAGTCCCTCATAAAATAATTTTCACTGTCCAGCCCAGCTTTACCAACCTCCTTGACTTTAGGCTAAAAATAGCATGAAGGGTTCCGAAAAGAAAGGCAAGTAGGGGCTGGAGAATGGGTATTGCACCTCACGCCACTGAGTATAGCACAGGAAAGCCTCTCTCAGGTAGACAAATATTCAATAAAAATACTGCTTTTATGAGCCTGTTGGGAAGGTGTAATTGTTACAGCCCCTCAGGTGTCAAAGCTTTGCAAAACGCGTTGTCCGCAGCTTTGGCATTGCAAGGGCTTTTAAAAAGCCATTTTTGTTTATTTTGGTTGGCATAAATAGAAAGAAATGTTTCCTTACGTAAAGCCATCACTGATAGAATAACAAAACTCTTTAAAATAAAATAAAATTTTCAAAATAAAGCAAAATTTAGTCACAGGCGAAGTTAGGGGAGTAGGTTTTAGTGTCTGTCAACCCATAAGTGAGGTGTTGACTCATTACCAGAAATACTGACAACACTACAAGATAAATCTCCGCTAATCCTACAAACCCACACTAACTAGACAGGGTCACAGACCGAATCAGCTGTATTTATTACCCTGAACAAAGCAAACGGCAAGTAAGGGTTAAAGAGGAAGAAGCCTCAAGTGTTTGCAATTAATGGTGTCAGAGAGAAATGAATTCTGATTAAACAAAAAAAAGTTGTACAGTATTTTTTTCTGTAAAGGTTATATATATATAGAACAAAAAAAGCAAAAATATAAAAAAAAAAAATCAAAGTAAGCTTGCAAATGGTGACCGTGCCTGATTATCGGAGCATAACTGGATATAAGACGCGGCGCCAAATCCCTCCCTTTCAGTTTTTAGCTTCTGATTTCCTGGAGTCCCGATGTTTGACTTCACTTTAGCACTGAAACGCGTGATTCCGACTTTTAACTTGAATTTTCTAGAAAAACAAATAACGTAAAGTTCAGATAAATACAGAGGATTGCAATCTTCAGATTGTTGATAGACGTTTGTAGTTATATATTTAATTTTTTTTTTTGTTGGTTTGTTTTCCTACTTTCCCTAAATCGGTTACATGTGTGCTTCTTTTTCAACATTAGAGATTTTTTTTTCTCCCCATTTTTATCATCTATTAGATAAGTGAGGGCAATGCAGCCTCATCAAACCTTTTAGCAGCTGGAGAGGCAAACCCTGTTCTTTTTATTATAGAAGTCTGTGACGGGTAAGCAGTGGTACGCGGATTGTTACTACGTTATCTGCAGGTTATCCATATGCCGCATTTTTACAGTTAGGCCAAAACTTCTGATGATGGGGCCAGTAGAGTCTAGAGATGAGACAGATGCAATTTGTAACAATTGAATTACATCTCTGAAACCTCCTCCAACTCTCTCCTGACTTTTTACAAGTTTTATTCTATTTGTTATTGCTTGAGAACACAGCAGGTAAACAGGAAGGGGGAATAGCCTAATCAAATGCCATCTTTGCGGCTTCACCAAATCCACTCACTTTGTAACACTCCCTACCAGAGGGCAGCAAAAGGAAATACAATAAAACATACAATAAACAACTAAAAATGAAGACGGTATGAGATTTTTTTATCTTGATATTGCACAGTAGGACATAAGCCATCTCCAGCTCATCCATTAAATACCATGTGTCACCTATTTTATGTGGAAACAAAAAGGTCTTTCTTCATCCTGGCTAATAACTGTTTGTTTACGATCTATATCTGGATACATGGATCTGTATATTGATATAGTATGAGCATGCGTTTGTCTGCACATTACATGTATGTGTGTGTGTCCATATATACATATATCAAATATATACACACACGCACATCTATGTTTCATTTTGTGGTGGATGTAAACTGGTCGGATTATCATACAGGCGGACGGTACACTTTTTGATGTCTGCCCCGGACGATGCCAGGTAATAATGCGCTTTGTGCACCTTTTCTATTTCCTGGCAAATGAAAACAAGGCTGCGCCAGAAGACTTGGATAAAACTGGAGTGGATGTCCATAAAGTGAACCGCATGCTTACTATATTCTATACAGATTTTATATATATATATATATATGTATGTGTGAGTTTAACAGAAAAGAAAAAGTCAGAAATATGGACACCATATTAACACCATCCACACTGGCAGACAATTGGTGAGTCACCTGTGTTTATCTAGGGCTTGGCTGACCATTCATAACACTAAATGCAAAGAATGCTCAGATTTTGGGTTAGGGGTGGATTCCTTAGAATGAATCAACGGACATATAGAAATATTGCCAAATATCGGGGGCTATTCCATGTCAGAATATATTCTATAATTTAACTCAAAGTTATGGTAGCCAAGCTCAGCTGCTCTAAATACTGTAGAAGGCTGGCAGAGCACCATGGGAGATGTAGTCCAGGTTGTGGGGGAGTGACTGTAATAACATCTGTTAATTCATTGTTGTCACCATTTCCCAGTGTATTTGGATTGGCATTGACCAGTTTCTGACATTATCTATAGTGTGTGTATATGTCTAAAGAAGTATTCACTAAACCGAGAGCAGCACTAAACGGACGAACGAGTTACAAAATTTAGGCAAAATTACCCAATTTCTAAACAGCATGTAAACTCTGCCAACTGGGATTTTTTTTCCAAATCTCTTATTTTAGCCTAAATTTTGCAAATTGGTTGTCTGCTTCCTGCGGAGCACGGTTTAATGAATCAACGCTCAATGTATATATGTGTTACATACAAATTCATATTTTTTTATTAATATTCTATAGCCAGGTGAGAATGAATTCCTCAAAATACTTGAATTGGACTATTTCCCTCATCACTAAGAACTGAATATTTTTTCCACTTGAATTTATTGCTGTTAGACATTTAATATATGTGTTTATTTATTTGATTTATTTTTATTTTGGTTTTTTTTGCATGACTGATGCAAGGTTTGACATTTTCACTCAATAAAAACTGGAAAAAAAATGAGACATTGTGCTTGTGCCCGTCCTTCTTATTTGGAATTTCAAGGTGTTACAACGAATGGGTTAATCACAGTATTAGGGCAAGAGTATTTAATGTGACACTCCAGGGTGGAGGCGGCCCCGGTTTTAATTCATTCAATGGATAATGGATTACAAAACATGCAAAAATAAAATAATCTTTTGCAATTGTATGTAGACTGTTGATAAAAGGGAGCAATATAATATATATATTAAGGCACCTGGCAAATTTCCTGGCATATCAGCTTTTTAAAAATATACATTAATTGCGATAAAAGAAGGGCCAGCCACCAAATGTAATACAATGCGCAACAGCACCAAGATACTTCTAAAATCAGAACAGGATAATGTTTATTAGATATGTACTGGATGTGATTCATGTGGATGAAGGAACATAGAATGTGACGGCAGATAAGAACCATTCGGCCCATCTAGTCTGCCCAATTTTCTAAATACTTTCATTAGTCCCTGGCCTTATCTTATAGTTAGATAGCCTTATGCCTATCCCACGCATGCTTAAACTCCTTTACTGTGTTAACCTCTACCACTTCAGCTGGAAGGCTATTCCATGCATCCACTACCCTCTCAGTAAAGTAATACTTCCTGGTATTATTTTTAAACCTTTGAGATCTGTGTTAGAGAAAAAGAATAGTAGATACGAGGAATATGTTTGCAGTTTCAGCAGAAAACTAATGGCCAATAATATTTGGTAAATATGACTTTAGATACAATGTCAAAATGCAAAGGATGTGTGTGATTAGGGATGGATTTGCCAGAAGGCGCATGTCTTCCTACAGCAGTCTATGCAGTTTCTATTTTTGAAGTTAGATTTCAAATACAGAAGGATATTATTTGTTACGTCTGAGGACATGTCAGGGGTGGTCCAGAACAGGTTTTACATAATTGCATTCATTATTATTTGTGGAGGGGTTAAGTGAGATGTATTTCTCATTTTTGTGTGTGGTACCTCCAACTCATGGAGAAAAGGTGAGGTAGGGGAGCTCAGCATATTTGCACCATGGCTACTGGCCCAAGTATAACAACATAGTGATTTCTCAAACTTTACAAATGTAAATTCAAAATATCAGAAAGTAAAGTTAAATAGCCTGCAGATTCCTACTCAACTTCAAGTGATCCCTTCCTTACCCACACATTAGTATTACAGGCCACGTTCTTATCAGGCCCAGAGGAGACTCATACATAGGGGCACTTGGGAAAGTGCCCCACCAGTTTTTATGTGGGGAAAATCTATTTGCTGCAGATTGGGAAGGGTGGTACGTCCACAAACACGGTAAAACATTTGTCTCGCTTTAAATCTGTAATAGGTTTCAGTTCAACAGGGCACCTCCCCCTCATCTGTAGCTGTTTGGAGAAGCTTACTTGAGAGCATCTAGGCATGTCAAAAAAAAAAATGGGACTGGTTTGAAATCTGCCCAGTTTCAGCAGGTTTTGCACATGCCTAGTTGTCCTTTAAGAAGAAATATCATGAATTTCCATTGAGTTGCCATTCGGACAGCAGAGCCAGCTGCCCATGAGTGGAGGCATGAGATTGGCCTCTCTATTCAGGGGCCATCATTGGCTGATAGCGCCAGGGGCAGGGTTAGAGTGCCCGCTGGAGAGAGGAAGTAGCACAGCAGCTCCTGGCCCCTGCCAAATGTATGTGTAATAACTTTTTTAATTTACTCCCACAATAGCCCCAGTGACTGCTAGAGGGCTTATTAAGCAAGTGAATTTACTCAAATAGATATAAAGCCAGGGATTACAAGGGGAGGAGGACATTTCTGACACAGAGCACTTTGCTGCCTGTCACTAATAGTTTTAATAACTCATACTGCACACACCCAATATCATCTTTAAAGCTCTCAGTCACTCTCCACCTGAGACACTCAAGCTGTGGCTACGTGAAAAGCTGTAAAGCTCCAAACCGCAGGACTGGGGCTGTGACTCTGATGAATGATCTGATTCCAATCTGTTTTAATCTGTAATGATTGTTGCTTCTGTTAACTATGTGAGCTATTTCTTGCCTGGCTCCATATTACCACAGCGTATTAATTATAGCTGCAAAGGTAATAAGTAGTCTTATATTGATATCGATGCTTCAACCCTGTGTGTAATAAGGCGTCTATAAGTATCCCGCTGCTTTATCCTGTGTACAATGTATGCTGAGAGCTAAAGGAGAAGCTGGCATGTTTCTTAACACAGCAATATTTAATAGACAGCTACAGTTATCATAGCAGGAGCACTACTGAACATGAGATGGAGGGGAGAGTTAAGAGATGGAGAGAGAGAGCAACCTAAAGCATTTTACAGAGACGTAGAGTGTGGGAATCTCTGTATTGCGGCTCTGTGTAATCCATCACAGTGATCCTGGCTGTGTGGGATAGCTATGGTATCGCATATTGTGCCGAGCTCTGTGCGTTATCTCTCTGTATTTTACGGAGATCTACCTGTTGTATAGGTATCACTGTAAACCCAGCTTTGCGTATTGTATAGGTATCCTCAGGTCTGAACTGGGACAAAAATCAGCCCAGGCATTTAGAGGCAGAGCAGCCCTAGGAAGGGCGCAACCCACCAAGGTTGCATGTTATGTCATCGTGACATGCATGCCTCGCCAAAGTGGGCATATATGCTTAATGCCTCTCAGGGCAGCCCACATGTAGTTTGGGGGGTTAGGAGATAGTGTGAGATGGGGGCAGATGCTGCAGGGTGTGAGAGGCAGTCATGGGGCTTCTGTGTGATGGGGGACATGGAGCTGATGGACGGGAGAAGGGGGTACAGGGTCTGCTGGGTTAGAGGGATAAACAGGGTCTGCTGGGTATGAGAGGGGGACATAGGGTCTGCTAGGTGTGACAGGGGGACACAGGGTCTGCTGGGTGGGAGAGGGGGAGACTGGGTGGGATGGTTGACAGGAAGCTGGGTGGGAGGGGGCAGAGGATGCTATGTGAGGGTGGCAGGGACTACTGGGTGGGAGAGGGATGCATGGTGTCAAAAAAATATACACATTACATATTAAAAAACAAAATAACTAACGTTTCCTCCCCCATCCCTCTTCCTTACCTTGAGCATTGGAGGTAGGGGGAGCCAGGGAGGAACTATTTGCCCTGGTGGTCCAGTGGATGAAGAATCTGGTCTACATCCCTTGGCAGGTGTAGACCATGTGTAGAGTGCCTGCGCTGTTCATCAGTGTGCAGGCTGGCGAGTGAGATCTCAGATCTCCCCACCGGCCACAGAGCTCCTTCTATGGGCAGGAGGTTATGTAGCAGTAAAGGGGCTGGCAGGGGAGATCATTTGCCCGATGGCCAGTCTGGGCCTGGGTATCCTTGTATTGAATGCAGCTCTGTGTATGATATCTCTATTTTTCTCAGCTCTGTTTGTGGTATGGTTATCTCTGTATTGTACTCAGCTCTATGTATTTTACAGAGCTTGTTTTATTGAATGAGCAGCTCATGTATTATGCTCAGTTCTCTGTATTGTATAGGGAGGAGTAAAATTCTGGGGGAGAAGTCTGGTCGCCTTACCATCTTAAAATTCCATTAGCCGCCACTGCTCATGGCAATACGCAAGCGAATATTTTAGAGAAGCGTGTGTGTAAAGAGTCACAATTAGAGATTAACCCAGTGGTTCCCAAACGTTTTAGGTTCAAGGCGTCCTTAATATTTCAGTATTTTTCCAAGGCACCCCCAGTCAAAATATCTAGGTTGTATATCTGTACAGCGCTGCGGCATTTACTGGCGCTATAGTGTAATGTACAGTGTTTGAAGGGGTGCTTGTATATAGTGATTGTGTTTTAATACAGGGGTGTGTTTGTATGTAATGTTTGCGTTTGATTGCAGGAGTGTGCTTGTATGTCATGCTGGTGTTTGACTGTTTGCACCTACACAGATATTCATGCACATTAACACACAGATGCATATCAATACACCGACACATACACACATAGATACACACCGACATATACACACATGCACCCTGACACACACAAACATTGATACATGCCCACACAATGACACAGATACACACACGGACAGGGCCGCCATCAGAAATTTTAGGGCCCCTGACACAGCTCAAGTTCTGGTTCCCCTGGGCCAGCCCCGAGTCTGCCCACAAGGATGAAGTGTGTGTGTGTGTGTGTGTGTATAGTGGATGTAGAATGAGTGTCATGGATGCAGTGTGTATAGTGGATGTGGTATGTGTGTCATGGATGCAGTGTGTGTATAGTGGATGCAGATTGTACGTTTTGTGTAATGTATGTAATGTTTGTATGCATGCATTAGATGCAGTGTGTGTGTGTGGTGAATGTAGATGTGTATAGTGAATGCAGAGTGTGTGTTTTTGTAGTGGATGTAGTGTGTGCACAGTGAATGGAGAGTGTGTGTTTTTGTAGTGTGTGTACAGTAGTGAGTGCAAAGTGTGTTTAGTAAATGTAGTGTTTTTGTAGTGAGTGCAACGTGTGTATAGTGAATGTAGTGTGTGTGTAGTGCAGAGTGTGTTTAGTGAATGTAGTGTGTGTAGTGCAGTGTGTTTAGTGAATGTAGTGTGTGTGTAGTGCAGTGTGTTTAGTGAATGTGTAGTGCTGAGTGTGTTTAGTGAATGCAGTGTGTGTAGTGCAGAGTGTGTTTAGTGAATGTAGTGTGTGTAGTGCAGAGTGTGTTTAGTGAAGGTAGTGTGTGTGTAGTGCAGAGTGTTTAGTGAATGTAGTGTGTGTGTGTGTGTAGTGCAGAGTGTGTTTAGTGAATGTAGTGTGTGTGTGTGTGTAGTGCAGAGTGTGTTTAGTGAATGTAGTGTGTGTGTGTAGTGCAGAGTGTGTTTAGTGAATGTAGTGTGTGTGTGCAGTGCAGAGTGTGTTTAGTAAATGAAGTGTGTGTGTAGTGCAGAGTGTGTTTAGTGAATGTAGTGTGTGTGTGTGTGTAGTGCAGAGTGTGTTTAGTGAATGTAGTGTGTGTAGTGCAGAGTGTGTGTAGTGAATGTAGTGTGTGTGTAGTGCAAAGTGTTTAGTGAATGTAGTGCAGAGTGTGTTTAGTGAATAGTGTGTGTGTAGTGCATGTGGTGTGTGTGTAGTGCAGTGTGTGTTTAGTGAATGTAGTGTGTGTAGTGCAGTGTGTGTTTAGTGAATGTAGTGTGTGTGTAGAGCAGGGTGTGTTTAGTGAATGTAGTGTGTGTGTTTAGTGCAGTGTGTTTAGTGAATGTAGTGTGTGTGTGTGTGTTTAGTGCAGTGTGTTTAGTGAATGTAGTGTGTGTGTAGTGCAGAGTGTGTTCAGTGAATGTAGTGTGTGTGTAGTGCAGAGTGTGTTTAGTGCAGAGTGTGTTCAGTGAATGTAGTGTGTGTGTGTAGTGCAGAGTGTGTTTAATAAATGAAGTGTGTGTGTGTAGTGCAGAGTGTGTTTAGTAAATGAAGTGTGTGTGTAGTGCAGAGTGTGTTTAGTAAATGAAGTGTGTGTGTAGTGCAGAGTGTGTTTAGTAAATGAAGTGTGTGTGTAGTGCAGAGTGTGTTTAGTAAATGAAGTGTGTGTGTAGTGCAGAGTGTGTTTAGTAAATGAAGTGTGTGTGTAGTGCAGAGTGTGTTTAGTAAATGAAGTGTGTGTGTAGTGCAGAGTGTGTTTAGTGAATGTAGTGTGTGTGTAGTGAATGTAGTGTGTGTGTAGTGCAGAGTGTGTTTAGTGAATGTAGTGTGTGTGTGTGTAGTGCAGAGTGTGTTTAGTGAATGTAGTGTTTGTGTGTAGTGCAGAGTGTGTTTAGTGAATGTAGTGTGTGTGTAGTGCAGAGTGTGTTCAGTGAATGTAGTGTGTGTGTGTGTTCAGTGCAGAGTGTGAAGTGTGTGTGTAGTGCAGAGTGTGTTTAGTGAATGTAGTGTGTGTGTGCAGTGCAGAGTGTGTTCAGTGCAGAGTGTGTTCAGTGAATGTAGTGT